GCCTCAAGGCTTTCAGGATCTTACTTTCCCGACTAGGGATTGAACACTGATCCTTGGCCTTGAGAGCACAGAGTCCTAACCACTGGACACAGTCAGAATTCCATGAGCAGAGGTATCTGGAAAACATACCTTTGTTTCAAAATCTCTTGATGGTCCTTATAAGATACAATTCAAATGCTAACATCCCAAGTTCCCCCAATTCTGCTCTGTGCCTTCCTAACAACTCTCCAGCCCAAATGTTAGCTTTACTATTTCATTCATTCATTCAATTAAAAATGCGTAAAAGCCCTTCTGTGAGTGCTTGCCAAGAGCCAAATATTATGGGCAACCTCCGAAGCTAAAAAAGTGAATGTGGGGGCTCTCCCAGTGGTCAGTGGTTAATATGGAGCCTCCACTGCAGAGGGTGCACATTTGATCCTGGTCCGGGAACTAAGATTGCACAGGCATGCTGTGCAGCCAAAACGAATGTGAATGTGGGGTTGTCCCTCCGCTTGAAAGAGCAGTAAAATCGTGGGCAGAGGAAGTAAGGGTGGGAAGACAAGGATGATAAGGAGGTGCTCAGTGGATAGTCCCTAGGATGGCAAAGAGTCGGACACGACTGAGGCAATTTAGCACACACCTAGTAGATGGAGGGGAGATGCCTGGCAAAGGGACTGTGATCCTACTTATCATTTGTGACCCCGTGGACGGTAGCCCACCAGGTTCCTCCAACCATGGAATTCTCCAGGCAAGAATACTGGAGTGAGTTTTCAGAGGATCTTTCTGACTCAGAGATGGAACCCAGGTCTCCTGCACTGCAGGCAGATTCTTTACCATCTAAGCCACCAGGGAAGCCCACTTACTGACATGTTATCAGTCAGTGTTTAATTTGTGTCCAGCCTGATGCTGTACCCGGAGCATTTAATCAGTAGATTTGATGCTGTCTTCCCAAGCAGGGGCAAGCTCTGGGTCTGGAGCCTGAGGTGGGGCAGATTGTGAAATGACCAAATGACTGAAGCCTTCTGTCCAAAGAGGCATGTGCAGAAAAAGTTTCCCGGTAGAGTGTAATCTGTATGTTATCAGTCCTGGGCCCAGGGACCACTCCCAGCCGTGGCTGCACCCAGGACACTCGGAATCCTCTCTCCAGGGGTGTCTGTTGGCATGATGATAACTGGAAAAGACACACTTGTGCAGATAACCAGATTCCATCTGGTACCAGAGTGACCTCCCTGCTCACTGACTCCAGGCTTCTTAGGTTCTGGTGTAGACAAAGAACGTCACCTGAGTCACTTCAGTAAACAAAGGATGTTGTGGCCATCAGCCACTGCAGCCAGCCCTGACAGTGTACCCCGAGAAGATTTAGGATGGAGAAAAATAGGATACTGGCCCTAGATAGTTAAGGTGCAAATCAGATTAATAATTTCAGTACACCTAGACTTTTGGATCTTCCTATACGTAAAAAAGTGCTAAATTCATTAACTTGAGATGTCTTTTCTTTAACAATAATCATTTGATGTTCTGACCCCTGTTTTTATTTTTTGTTTTATAAAACTCCTGTATAGGAAATTCCCCGACAGACCAGTGGTTAGAACTTGGCACTTTCACTGCCATGACCCTGGTTCAATCCTTGGTAGGGAAATAAGACTCCACAAGTCGCGAAGAGTGGCAGAAAACAAAAAATGAACAATTTCTTGGCTCCTCCCTTACTTCTTGAGAACAGTTCCCTCGGAGCTATCTGAGAGGCTATATGCCAGTCTTAAGTCCTCAGTAAGTCTGCTGAATAAAATGTGATTCTCGACTTTTAGGTTGTAAATGTTTTCTTCATTCAGTAAATGTATTGGTCAACTGGCAACCGGAGACAGCTGCTTCCTATCTCTGGCCTTGGGCAAATACCTTGCCCAAGGTGCCAGTGTTACAGCAGGTAGGTAGCTAGGTAAGTGCAGAGAAATAGGGGCAGGGGCCAAGTGGCAGGAAATTGCGCATCTTGTAAACAGCGGGGGTCCATGGACAGACAAAGAAAAGCAGGAACCTCCAGACTGAGAGGAAACCACACATTTTAAGTGATGTGTGTCCTGGAAGCAGACAAAGAAAGGTGACTAAAGGCGGGAATCTCCTGGGTCAGAATGTAACCTGTTGCTCATTAAGCTCTCATTACAATAAAATTAGCCTTATTGAGTTAGATAAAATGTTCCCATCATGCACCAACGCCATGACTCTTCGGATCTAAGCTAAATAAGGACAAAAATCCCTCTTCCCCTTCGGAAAATGGAGCTGGGATGAAAATCAGAGAATATGACCCCCTTACTCCTTCCCCAGAGAATATTCCACCCTTTCATTTGTATCCCCCTTAGAGCCAGCTTGCCAGAGAAATCCAGGGCAGCAGCTCCTCACCTGTCTGCCTGCTCTCATTCTGAGGGGGTATTCTTGCTTAAATAAATTCTCACTTTACTTTCCTAATCTCCTTGCTTCATTTCTAAATTCTTTTGAGACAAAGAAAGAACTTTAACTGAGAACACCAGGTTCTTTTTCCTAAAATGAGACTAATTAGCCGTGTGAGAGTATGTGCTGTGTGCAGTGTAGCTTCCTAGACCTGAAAGGACAAGCATGAGAGCAGCTAAAGAGTAATAATAATAATAACAACAAATAATGTAGAGCTTATCACGTGCCAGGGATTATTCTCAGAGGTTCACATATATCAAATTATTTAATCCTACAACCACCTCATAAAGTAGATAACCAGTGTAGTGATCAAGAGCATAGACTCTAGAACTAGACAGCCCAGGTTTGACTTCCTGCTTTGTCATTTATTAGCAGTGTAACCTGGGGGAGGCCTGTGTCTCAGTGTCCCCATCTGCTGAAAGAAGAGAGTACTATTGCTAGCTCATAGGAATAAATGAATTAAAATCTGTTGTTGTTCAGTCGCTAAATCACATCTGACTCTTCCGTGACCCCATGGACTGCAGCACACCAGGCTTCCCTGTCCTTCACCATCTCCCAGAGTTTACTCAAAACTTATGTCCATTGATTTGGTGATGCCATTCAACCATCTCATTCTCTGTCACCCCCTTCTCCTCCTGCCCTCAATCTTTCCCAGCATCAGGGTCTTTTCCAGTGAGTGGGCCAAAAGTATTGGAGCTTCGGTTTCAGCTTCAGTCCTTCCAATTGAATATTCAGAGTTGCTTTCCTTTAGGATTGACTGGTTTGATCTCCTTGCTGTCCAGAGTCTTATAAAGCAATAAACCAGTGGCTGAAGGTGAAAGTGAAAGTCATTCAGTCATGCCCAACTCTTTGGGACCCCATGGACTATACAGTCCATGGAATTCTTCAGGCCAGAATACTAGACTAGGTAGCCTTTCCCTTCTCCAGGGGATCTTCCCAACCCAGGGATCGAACCCAGGTTTCCTGCACTGCAGGTGGATTCTTTACCAACTGAGCTATGAGGGAAGCCCAAAGCAGTGGCTAGCACATAGTAAAAAGCTATCTAAGGTCTTGGTAAATATCACACTTACAGATGAGAAAAGAGAGGCACAGAGAAGCTACTTGCCTGTGATCCCACAACTAGTAAACATGGAGTTGGGAATCAAATCCTGGGCAGTCTGGCTTCAGAGCCTGGACTCTTAAATACTATGCTCTAGCAATGAAGAGGGGATGTCCTCATGAATTACTTTACAAGGGAAGTAGGTGGGGGGAGCACTGAGATAATTGCTGGGGAAGCTTCCAGCATGGAACATGTCAGTGTTTCCTCTGTTGTGGTAAGTGAAGTTTGCAGCAGCTGGCTGTACTGTCCCCAGGTGGCCAGAAGTTTCTGGAGAGTGAGCTGAGGCATAAGCAGGGGCTAAGAGGCTGAGGTTCAGCCCTGTGTCCCCAGGTTCCCATCTCATAATTCATTTACTTTTCTCTCAGCACTCCTTCCAGGACATGGCATGAAACTCATGGTAAAACGGCAACTTAAAATGGAAAATCATTGCTAAGACTCTAGGAGTTTAAGCATTGTGGTAAACTGAATTTAATGCAACCGCTGAATTCTGGGTCTTGGGGATACTGCTGTGAATTGAGGAGCCCCTTGGACTTCAGCAAGCCCATAGTTCAGATGAGGACGTCCGTAAATCAGCAAGTAGATTGTGGGCTGTGGGCTCTTAAAGATCAACAGGAACTAGTTTCAGTGGGAGAGGTAGGAAGTGTATCCGCCCCAGCAAAGACCAGGAGGCTGAAGAGTTTCCTCTCACGAGGGGCAGGGTGGTGATCTGGCAGAGTACTATAAACCTGATTGCAGAATATTTTACCCCGAAGGAGAGGACAGAGATTTTAAGTTCTGGAGAGGCAACATCAGGTTTGCTTTTTAGGAGGCTTGCTTTGGGCTGCCAGAGCAGGAGCTGGAGCCACTTGAGTTCGAGGCTGGAAAGGAAGAAGGGAGTGGGTTCCAAGTCTCAGCCCTGGTCTAAGTCTAGGTGAGGAGGCCTCTTGGGGGTGGGGGGTGGGGGTAGGGACATAGGAGCTGCTTGGACTAGCGCTGGGCTCTTTGCACAGGTGGTTTCCCTCGGCCTGACTCTCCCATCCTTGGCGGCTCATTCCCTTTTCTCAGTCTTCCTTCCTCCAGGCCTGCCCTACGGCTCTTGGCCGAGCCACGCCTCAGTCACCGGGTTGCGGGGTCAAAGCCGCGCCCAAGAGCTCTCAGCCCTAGGAGCTTCAGTGCGGTGTCCTCAGGCCCCGCCCCGAGCACGGCCCTCCCGCTGGCCCCGCCCCGCGTCGCTCGCTGGCCCCGCCCCCGCGCACCAGCCCGCCCGCGCGCTGGCCCGGGCGGCGCCGACGCGCTTGGCGGGAGATAGAAAAGTGTTTCTGCGAGCGCCGGCGGCGGCCGCAGTCCCCGTGAGCAGCGGCCGGACCTGCGGTCTCGCTGACGCCTCGCCACGCGGCCCGGAGGCCCGGAGCGGCCGGAGCAGCTCGCACCCTGACCCCGGCCCGGCTCCCGCTCCGGGCTCGGCCGGCGGGCGGGCGAGCGCGGCGCGGCCCGGGCCGGGGGGATGTCGCGGCGGACGCGCGGGTGAGCGGAGCCGGGCGGCGGAGGGCCCTTCCCCCCTCCGCAGGCGCCATACTCCTCAGCCCCGACCCCTACCCCCACCGCCACCCTCGCCGGGGCCCTTCCGAGCCGGCCGGGCCGGGCGCTGTTGGGGTCGGCAGAAAACTCAGGTGTCCTGCGTCGCCTGACGCGGGGAAACGCCGGGGGTGCGCGCGAAGCCGGGGGGCTCCCGGGGGCCCCTCGCTCGGCACCCCCGGGCCTGCTGGGCCTCGGAGCTGGGGCGGGCGGGTCTCCTGGGACCCGGGCCAAGCCTATATGATGTCATTTTGTCTCCCGCCTAATTGCGGGGTGGGGGGTGGGACGGTGGTGTCAGCTGGAAGGGCCTTTACCGGGGAGGGAGGCGACCCCTGGAGAAGAAAAATGATTTTCGAAGTCGCGGCTGGTGGGAGGCCAAAGCCTGGAAGACGCTTGTCCTTCGAGCCTTTTTTTTTGGGTGGGTGGGGTCTGGTTTTGCCGGTGGGCATTTCTTAGCGTTCGGGAAGCACGGAGCACTCCCGGCTCTCTCCCCTGACCTAGGAGGGTTGCTGGGGCCGGGAGGGACTTTTTGGTCCCCCACCACCTGGCCTCGGGGCCTTAGGTCGGTCTCGCTCCGGAGACCTTCTTCCTGTTCGACATGCGGGGGTTGGGGCAGCTGGGGTTGAAAGCGAGGGGAAGAGAGACTGATCTGTACCAGCAACCCCTGGGGCGGAGGCGAGAACTGCAGTCTCCATTTTACTTATCCCCCCAGAGTTGGAGTGGCAGAGACAAGCCAGGAATCAGGTCTATGGGCTCCACGTCCCTGTCTTACACCTGTTCCTTCAGTGTCTGAGTTCTAGGCTTTTCAACCAGTCTGGGAGTCACAGTACAGAATCACAAGGGGCTCTGACCTGTTCCCTGCCAGGATTCATGCATCCCAGATAGCCTGAAATCCGCTTCAGGTGGTGTCTGCCTTCACAGGCTCAGCAGATAGATCTGAGAGGCGATGGTTGCAGCTTTCCCTAGAATTCTTCTCAGCAAGGAAACATCTGATCCCTGGGCAGATCAGGCACAGGGTGTGTCTTCCTCAGGCCATGGTTTCTCAGGGCAGCTCCAATTCCCAGGAGTTATTTTCTGGGCAGGCACTTGTCAGGCCCTGAATTTCTGGTTCAGGAAGTGTTCACTCTAGGCAACAAACCCAAGGCCCCTGACAACCCCCAAGTCCTCTACCATCTATGCCCTGGGGCTCAGTGGAGGAATCCCAGCTCCCAGGTGAGGGATGGGTTCTGCACTCTGGAACCCCACAGCATTAAGTTTGATTCTTGGCCCCTTGCTGTAACTCTTCTGCACCAGTGCCCTACTTCCTGCTCAGCTTCTGACTCACCCCAGCTGGAGCAGAGCCCAGCAAATGGAAGGGCATAGAAAGGGTGTGTGGGACTTCCACGTGGTTGCCACTACTGACTTAGCCTCTGCTTTTCCCGCTGGGATTATGAGAGGAGGACCTGCACGTGCAGGTTAACCCCTGCGAGCTTCGTGTGTGCGTGCTAAGTTGCTTCAGTCGTGTCTGACTCTTTGCAACCTTATGGGCTGTAGCCTGCCAGACTCCTCTGTCTATGAGATTTTCCAGGTGAGAATACTGGAATGAGTTGCCACGCCCTCCTCCAGGGGATCTGCCTGACCCAGGGATTGAACTTGTGTCTTGTATGTCTCCTGCATTGACAGGCGGGTTCTTTACCTCTAGTGCCACCTGGGAGCTCAGTTTTCACATCTGTTAAATGGGAATAGTGAGAATGCATGTGAAGCAGATAGTCATTACTGTGATGGTAATATAAATATATTAAACCTCACAGAATTCCCCCAACCATCTGAACTGCTGTCCCCATTAAATAGAGTATTGGAGCTCCAGAGAGTTCACACAGAAATTACTTTGTCCTTGAAGGAACATTTGCTGAGCATCTGTTAGAAGCTGGGTGTCAGAGAACCAAAGATAGTTTCTGTTAGAACAGAGGCCGGGGGCAGTTGATGTTAAAGCCAGCTTCTTTCTGTTATTAGTATCTTGTAGAATTTTTTCCTCCTATTCTGTGATGGTGGAGGACTCCGTGAATTGGGTTGGGAATGACGAGACAAGGTTGAATTCCAGCTCCCCGTGACTTGTGTTGCTGGGTTTCAATGGTGTCTGTTCCTTCCTTACCTAATTCTAAAAGTTGACTTATGTTAGCATTTCTGATCGACTAAGAGGCAGCAGCTTTGCATGTTTAGTCATTCATTCCTATATCTGGCCATTTCCAGAACAAACATTTCTTAGGCATTTTGGTGCCATCCTCCAAAGGCAAATACGGAGGTGGAGGTGACCTCTGTCCTGGTTGTCAAGGAGATAGGCAGTTGCAACCTAAGAGCCTATGTTATATGACAGGATTTCTGAGGTGCTGTGGGGAGTATGGGAGTGACTAGGGAGATGCTGAGAAGGGGAAAGAAGCTTGGCTGCAGAAGGAAGTCCTCTTCCTTCTTTCGACACCTGACCTCTGCTTGGAGACTCATAGACTTTTCCTACTTGAAGATTCATGACTGAAGAATGTCCCTGACAGAGATCCACCTGAGTTCGAAGGGTACTCTAGTGAGTCCCAGACATCCCTGGGGGTGGATAGCGTGATCTTCATTTTTGTAACCACGTAAATAGGAAGATTTTGGAGTGACCTGGAAAATTACTTGTTAGAAAATAAAAGCATCCAGAATTCAAAGTTGCTTGTACTCTGATTTTTTAGCTCCATAAATTAGACCTGTGTGTAGGCAGGGATTGAGAAGGGGTATGCAAAAATGGACATAGTTACTGAGGTAATATATTTTATTTTTTAATATATATATTTCTTTGGCTGTGCTGGGTCTTAGTTGTGGCACATGGAATCTCTAGGAACTCTCACTTGCAGTATGTGAGATCTAGTTCCCTGACCAGGCTCGCTGCATTGGGAACATGGAGCCTTAGCCACTGGACGACCAGGGAAGTCCCTGAGATAATGTATTTTAAATGGTTTTCTCAGATAACCAATATTTCTTAAAATCCTGGTGCATAATGATTACATACATCTTTGGCTTTAATCCTTAAAATATCCATGCAAATTAAAGTTTAGTTACTGAAAAGGAAATATGAAATGGGTGTCTGGTGTTGAATATTCTAATATTCTTGGTGAAATCTTTTTTCTTGTAGCTTTTGAAGTCATAAGGGTGTTGGTGAAAAGACAAGAATAAAGAAATAGACCATAATTCTATTTCTTCTTTTAATATATATTTTTATTTATTTCTTTGGCTGTGGTTGGTCTTAGTTGCCACATGTGGGATTTAGTTCCCTGACAAGGGATTGAACCTGGGCCCCCTGCATTGGGAGCTCAGAATCTTAGCCACTGGATCACCAGGGAAGTCCACATAACCCCATTTCATCAAAAACCTTTTAGAAAGGGGGAGGGTGGAAGTACCTACATTTGTACCTACAGTAGAAGCCCACCTCCCTGAAACCTTTCCCTTGAGGTCAATGGCCTCTGTCCACAGTATCCATCCATCAGGGCAGCCCTTAGAGACGCATATCCTTGACCTTTGGCTTTTTCCCCCGGCAGTGAGGAGCTGGATGAGCTGCACTACCAGGACACAGATTCAGATGTGCCAGAGCAGAGAGACAGCAAGTGCAAGGTCAAATGGACCCAGGAGGAGGTGAGTGACACTGAGGGGCAGCTGCGGAGTGGAGGAGGGGAGGGCAGACTGAGAACCGAACCTGGGGTGTGTCTGCCTGATGCCCCGACCAGTATGATGAAGGGGGGGCGCTGTTGAAAGAAGCCAGTGGGCCCTCTGTTTCTCTCTGATGCTTCTCAGAGCATTCCTGGAGCCTGTCAGTATTGAGGACTTTGAGGGATGTGTCTCTGAGGACCAGCAATTGCGCTCTCTGGGTAGCTGGCGTGTTCTGTATCCTGAACTTTAATCGTGCTGCTTGTCCTGTGACTGCTGGGAGGTTTAGCCAAATCTGCCACCTCCTACTTTATTATCATTTAGAACCATAATAATTGTATTGTGTCTGTAATACCGAGCTCTGAATTGATTTTCTTTTTATTCTTTAATCATGTTTATGGAGTGTGTGTGTGTGTGTATATATATGTGTGTGTATATATATATATATATAGTCAAATGCACCTTTTTAAAGTGGACAATTCCATCACTTTTAATAAGTGTGTATTACTTACATAAGTGCCATCTTTCTGGCTTCTTTTGTTCAGCGTAATGTTGCATGAATCAGTACTTCATTCATTTTTTCTTGCTGAATAGTATTCCATTCTATGGTTAGACCATGGTATGCTTCACTTGTTGATGGGCAGTTTGGCTGTTTACAGAATTTGCCTATAGAGGCTAGAGCTACTATGAAAATTCTTGCCTAAGTATTTTTGAGGATTATGTTTTCATTTCTCTAGGCGGGATACTTTGGGATGCTCATGGGGTAGGTATATGTTTAGTTTTATAGACTGTCGAGTCTTTTTGTAACTTGACTGTACCATGTTAAACTCCTATTGGCCTTATCTTTTTAATCTACGTCTGTTTTCCTGGATGTGTTTAGTTGTGATTCTCTTCCCACCCCCACCCCCACCCCCCACCCCTTCTTAACTTACTGTTTTGAGTTGTGAAACACTCTTAAATCATGAAAGATGTTTCATCACAGGAGTGCTAGGCCAGCCTTTTCTGTTCATCCCATTGTAGACCAGGGAATGTATTCTGCTCTTGTGGTCTTAGGAGACCAGACAAGATGGGATCCCTACCCCAGAGCATCTCTCTCTGCCTGGGATGGAGAAATAAGACCGCACTCAAGGCCCGTGGACGTGCTGTGGCCATCACAGTGCTGGCAGGACCGACGTTCTTTATGCCCACTGTGGTGTCTCTTTTCTTACACTAAGCCTCCTAGATGTAAGAGGTGCCTGTCATTGTCTTAAATGCCTTTAGAAGTTGAGTTTACTGTTGTCTGAGAGGTTAAGGAACGCTTCATGTGTGAGGATTTGGAAATTCAGCCATCAGGGAGGTATGCAAAATGGTGGATAAGTCAGAACAGGAAAGGGGTTGTAGGTGGGAAAAGGCAAGTAGAGGGGCCCTGGTGTGGCTGGAAGGAAGGGTCCTTGAAGAGTTTTTGAAAAGGTTGATTTAGACGGAAAGATGGAACAGGGTCCAAAGAGGAAGACCTTGAAGGTTGGGCTCAGAGACTGAGGCTTGCTCAGCTGGCAGGGAGGAGCCAGTGATGATTTTTAAAGCAGATGAATGATATGACCGTAGCCCGGCTTCAGGGAGCTGGTCTACTGGATGTGGGGTGGATAAGAGATCTGGCGGCAGCCTGAGGCTGAGCGAGCAGGGAAGGGTGCTGCGTTGTTCAGACAGAGGATGGCTGTGGAGGGACCAGGGCAGTGCAGGTAGGAGTTGACAGGTGGAGGGGCCCATGGGGTCTGGGAGGAATTGGAGAGGGGGGAAGTTGTCCACCCCAGTTGTCAGGGAAGATGGTGGTGCTGGAGATGGACATAGGGGACATGGACAGAAGGCAGGGGTTAGCCTGACCAGGTGGGATGGGAGCATGGTGTCTGGAGGAGCCGACTATGTGGATGTGGGCTGGCCCTGCAACAGGATTTATGGGGACTTTGTCCAGCTGGTTCTGGGCTGTGGCCAAGCTGCAATTGAGGGTATGGATGTCTGTGGTGGCCTTTTTTTTTCCCTGCCCAGGAGAGAGTGTGTGAAAAAACACCTAATGTTAAACCATTGTAACTGTTTTTAAGTGTATGTTCAGTACATGAAGTATATTCTCACTGTGCAGCAGATCTTTGGAACTGTCATCTTGCAAAAAAAGCTGAATCATTAAACACTAGTTTTCCCCATCCCCTCCCCCTAGCCCTTGGCAACCACCTTGTTTTACTTTCTGTTTTTGATTTCTTTTTTTATTTGGCTGCACTGGTCTTCATTGTAGCACATGGGATCATTTTTTAGGTGCCACATGCAGGATCATTAGTTGCAGCATTTTGAATCTAGTTTCCTGATCAGGGATTGAACCTGGGCCCCGTGCATCGGGAGCACAAAGTCTTAGCCACTGGACCACCAGAGAAGTCCCTGGTTTTTATTTTTGACTACTTGAGATTCTTCATAGGAGTAGGCTTAGACTGTCTTTGTCCTTTTGTGTCTGGCTTATTTTGCTTAGCATAATGTCCTCAAGGTTCATCATGTTGTAGCTTGTAACAGAATTTCCTTGTTTTGAGGCTGAATAATATTCCACTGTGTAGATAATACTACATTTTCTTTATAAAGTTTTAAAAAAAACAGTTCGGGGGATTCCCTGGCTGTCCAGTGGTTAGGACTCCAGGCTTTCACTGTGAGGGCCTCGGTTCAGTTCCTGATCGGGGAGCTGAGAAGCTGCAAGTTGCAGGGGGTGAAAACGGTCAGTTTGCTGGAGGAATATTTTACACACAATCAGCTACAATTGTTGAAGTACAATCCAGTGAGTTTCAGTGGATGTGCTGCCGTGAAACTTGCAGCAATACTACCTTGTAGGGTGTTTCCTTCACCCCAGACATCTCTTGCTCCCTGCTGTTTATTTCTCCCTCCCACCAACCAATCCTGACCTCAGACACCACTGTCTTTTTGTCCCTGTAGCTTAGTTTAACTTTTCTAGAAGTTCCTCTGCACAGAATTAAGCAATGTGTACTCTTGTTATGTCTGACTTTTTTTTTTTTTCTTTCTCTCATCCTAATGATACTGTGATTTTAATGTTGTTGCGTGAATCAATAGTTTATGTTTGGGAGAACGTTCTAACAGGTACTGTTTTCCCTTCCAAGTTTCCACGTTCCCGCAATCTCCAGGGCTGGGTCACTTGCCTCCGGCCTGGATGACTGTAATGGCCTCCTCTCCTCCATTCTGCCCTCCTGCAGCCCTTTCTCCTGCAGCTGCCAACATGGTCACACAACAAGCACGTTGGACCGTGACCACCTGTCAGTGGTGATGCTTCAGTGCACCAGTGGCTTTGCATAACGCAGAGGCCTGAATCAACCCTGTGTGTGGTCTGGTCCCAGGTGCCCCCCTCCCTACCCCCGCCCCCCCCAAATCCTCTTGCCTCCCTGTTGCCTGCTCCCTGCAGCCTAGCCTCACTAGAGTTCCTTGGAGCCTGTCCCTTGGTTCCCCCATAGGCCTCATCGTCCACCTCTCCATTCCCACAGCACAGGGTGGCCCTCCTTTTGTTTGCAGGAGCCTTTGATTAGCGTCTGCTTCCCTCTAGACTTTAAGTCCCAAAAGTTGAGCAACTCTGATGCTGGCGTGCCTGGTGCGTAGTTAGACAATCGCTTCATGACGTGAATAGATGAATGAGGCTGTTCCCTTTGTTGGGAGGAACATGGGTCTCGGTCCAGAGCAGCCACTTTCTGCCCATATGTGAGCTGAGCCCTCTGTCTCCCTGGCTTTGGCAGGATGAGCAGCTGAGGGCCCTGGTGAAGCAGTTTGGACAGCAAGACTGGAAGTTCCTGGCCAGCCACTTTCCTGTGAGTGCAGCCCCTCTGCTGCCCGTTCCCCCGGACAGGGGGCCTGGGAGAGACTTGGTGTCAGGGAGAAGAAAGGGGAGTTCCTTACCAAGCCCCCCATCCCCACCCCCGCGGCTCTCCCAACAAAACAACCTTCCAACCTCCCGAGGCCATTTCTACCCAAACTGGAATCAGAGGCGCCCTGATGCAAGCATCCTCACGTGGCAGCCTCTGGGTGCCTGGGGGCCTTAGGCTCCATGCTCATGCGTCATATCAGTGGCATATTTGCATTTCTTCCTGCAAGTCACTGACGAGTTGCTGCTCGGTCTCTGAACCATGAAACTGAACGTGAGAGGAAACGATGCTTGAGCAGGCTTCATGGTGAGGCCCCCGCAGAGCTGACTGGAGCCACCATGTCCAGCATCTAGAGCCTTTTGGTGATGTGGGTCCCCCACCCCAGTTCTGCAGGCGGCCGACAGGGAGGGGATGTGGCAGGAGCTGCTGTTCTCTTTCTTGGCTCATGGGCAGCTCGGGGACCAGGTCAGCAGACCCTTTGGCCCCATTCCTCACGCCCTGTCCTCTGTGGGTTCTGAAACCTTCAGGGAAATAGCCCCTCCCGGAAGCAAGTGAGAATACCTGATGTAGCCCGCAGGCTGGCACAGGGTGGTCATGGGCAGTGGCCCCACACAGGGTTCTGAGTTTGTCTGCTTCCATCCAGGCCCGCCTGTAGCAAAGGGAAGCGTGGTGTCCTAGTCTGTGGGTGTGTAGCGTGTGGTGGTTCTGGGAACGAGGCGGGGCCACAGGCCAGGAGTTCTCAAGGATGCCTGTCCTCTTCCCAGAACCGCACCGACCAGCAGTGCCAGTACCGGTGGCTGAGGGTCTTGAATCCAGACCTCGTCAAAGGGCCATGGACCAAAGAGGAGGACCAGAAGGTGACGCCTGGGCCTGCCACACCGTGGCCTTCACCCACCCCGGGGAAGGGGATCAGGGGACTGAGGATGACATCCCCGTGGTGGGTGCTGGGGGGCAGGGGGGTCCCACTGGCCTCACGGTGACTTTCCCCCAAGGTCATCGAGCTGGTCAAGAAGTATGGCACGAAGCAGTGGACGCTGATTGCCAAGCACCTGAAAGGCCGGTTGGGCAAGCAGTGCCGTGAGCGCTGGCACAACCACCTCAACCCCGAGGTGAAGAAGTCCTGCTGGACGGAGGAGGAGGACCGCATTATCTGTGAGGCCCACAAGGTGCTGGGCAACCGCTGGGCTGAGATCGCCAAGATGCTGCCGGGGAGGTGAGCTGCCTGCCGGGGCCAGGGCCAGTCAGGGCATCCCCTGGCCTTTGTGGGGAAGTTCAAGGCCCAGTCCGATTTCTCCGGGGTCATTGACTTTCCCCAGAAGAGGAGTCCTTCAGATTCTTGCCTGGGGCGGTGCAGGGACCTGGCTGCTGGGAGACGGTGGGGCAGGGCGGCCTAGGGGGCTCCTGTTTACTGTGCAGGTTCTCATCTGGTTGCACTTTCGGCTTCGTGCCCTGGCCATGGTTGCGTGCGTGCTCAGTTGCTTAAGTCGTGTCCTGACTCTTTTGCAATCCCATGGACTGTAGCCCACCAGGTTTCTCTGTCTATGGAATTCTCCAGGCAAGAATACTGGAGTGGGTTGCCATGCCCTCCTCCAAGGGATCTTCCCAACCCAGGGATCAAACCCATGTCTCTTGGATTTCCTGCATTGGCAGGCAAGTTCTTTACCACTAGTGACACCTGAGAAGCCATGTGGCCTGAGTTGCCTGGTCTTTTTCTTTTCTTTCTTTTTTTTTTTTTAAGAGAATAAGTCTTTCCTCCTGCCTGTGAGATCAGGGCCAGGATCTGGATATCCAAACCACTGTCTGTTTTCCCTCTAGTCCTCACTGGGCCTGGCCTCTCCAAGCACTGGGCGGGCCTCTTGGGGTTCTGCAGGGAGAACTGGAACAACTTGAGACTTGGGCTGCAATCTTGCATCTTTCTTTACCATGGCATTGTGGTGCCATGGTAGATGGCATGGAGGGAAAGGAGATACCAGATGGCCTGTTTTCCCTGGAGTCTGAAAGCATCTGTTTCCAAACTCGGCCCCAAGTGTGTTAATCCTTTTGGTGCTTCCTCTAAGCCTTGGATTGGAGACTCTTCCCTGTGTGGCCAGCCTGACCTGGCCAATGCCACGAGCCTCACCTTGATCCGCAGTCACCCTCGCTCACCCGTCGGCATTCTTGCTACTCTGCTCCCCTTGCCCCCACAGACACGGAGCCTGGACGCCCCCTGCCTCGTGCCCACTGTATAGCCAGCTCGCGCTTGTCCTTTGGTTGTTGGTAGGGAAGGTTTGTCTGTCCTTCCCGACCGTGGTCAGTCTCTGGCCACCTCCCCGTAGTGCCCAGACTCTCCTCTGAGACTGGTGGTTCAGTCGAGCTGTTATTCTGGTGGAAAAGCACTCAGCTCAGGGTCCCAAAGAAGGCATTGTCTGTGTGTCCGCGCTTCTGCACTGCTGTGACCCGTGCGCTCTGAGGCTGCTCACGCTGATGCCGACGTGTGCTTCCACGGTTCCGTGCGTCTCTGTGCCTTGTCCTGCCCACCACGCCTGCTTCTCTGCTGCCCTGTCCTGCTCTCCTGCGCACCCATTGGCCTTTCTCCGTCCGCACTTCCCTGCACTTCTGTGCCGCCATGCTGCTCTCTGCATCTATGCATCACTACTCTGATTTATATGACTATACGTATTTCCTCTAATCTTTAAGAAGTGATGGAGGAGGAAGTGATCTGATTCTCCAGATTAAAAACCCATGGCTCAGAGTAGTCAGCAGGGGACCCTGTGTCCTCTTGCTCTGCCCTCTCTGGCCATTTTCTATCTATGGGAGGTGATCAGGGCTCATGTTTGAGGTCCCTGAGCCTCTGGACAGGGGCCAGCAGCCAGCAGCTTGCTTCCAGTTTCTACAGATGCCCAGTGAGCCAGGAAGGGACTGAGAGTTGCCCGAACACTTCAACGTTAGGATTCTTGCCCTGTCAACTGAATAAGATGTTTGCTTACTTCGCAGAGGTGTGTGGGAATACTCCGTAAATCATGCCAGGCTGCGGGCCTGTCAGACTTCATCTTAGGCGGAGAGCCCTTAGAGGTCCTCAGGTTGAACCCTGCTTGACAGAAGCCAGAGCTCAGTTCAGGGATGCTAATGGTGCACCTGCTGGGGCGCGGGCCACAGGGCTGGGGTCAAAGGTCCTGGTTGGCCCCTGCAGGACGGACAATGCTGTGAAGAATCACTGGAACTCTACTATCAAGAGGAAGGTGGACACGGGAGGCTTCCTGAGTGAGTCCAGAGACAGCAAGCCCCCCATGTACTTGCTGCTGGAGCTGGAGGACAAGGACGGCCGCCAGAGTGCCCCCTCCTTGGAAGGCCAGGTGAGCAGTGGGGAGTGGAGCTTGGGAGGGCTTGGCCACGGCGCTTGGGGTGCTTGGGTGGGTTGGCTTGTTTTCATGTGTATCTGATGCCATCCCATCAACACCTGCTCCTCCCTTTTCACCCGTTCCCACAGCTGTTCTTTAATCCTGCAGGAAGGTCTGTGTGGCCACATGTCTCACGAGTGCCTTTCCCTATGAAACCTGTGTCCACGCTTGGCACTCACCTGCCCAGAGATGCAGGATGCAGAAGCCAGCATCAGGGAGGGTCAGGCAGGGAGGTCTTCAGCCTCCTCCTCTCGTCATCAACGGCTTCCTTCCCACCTGTTGCTCTCTCCAGCTTTTTCATAGTAAAAGCATGTGTGTACTTTAAAATCAGATGTGTCAAGGTGCAATCACAGTAAAATTCATCGTTTGCTGTGGAGGTCAGGACCGAAACAATCATGTCGCCATCACCGCAGTCAAGATGCAGAATGTTCCCATCAACCCCCAGGCTCTTGTGCCTCTTTCAGCCCAGAATCTCCCATCCTTAGTCCATGGGACCCTTCATCAATTTTTTTAATCTCTTTAATTTTCTAAAAAGTCATATAAATGAAATCATATGGTGTCACATTTATCATTGTTAACAACTCACATCCCTTGTGGCTCAGCTGATAAAGAATCTGCCTGCAGTGCGGGAGACCTGGGTTGGATCCCTGGGTTGGGAAGATCCCCTGGAGAAAGGCTACCCACTCCAGTATTCTGGCCTGGAGAATTCCATGGACTGTATAATCCGTGGGGTCGCAAAGAGTTGGACATGACTGAGCGACTTTGACTTTCACATCCTACACCCTAGGGCACACTTTTTCAAAAAAATTGACAGTTCAGTTGCTGAGTCGTGTCCAACTCTTTGCAACCCCATGGACGGCAGCACGCCAGGCCTCCCTGTCCATCACCAACTCCCAGAGTTTACTCAAGCTCATATCCATTGAGTCAGTGATACCATCCAACCATCTCATCCTCTCTTGCCGCCTTCTCCTGCCTTGGTAGTAAATGTTGGCATATGCATTAAACAGTATATCTGTTCTCTCTGGAAGTTGGGATTTATAGGCTCAGTCTTGAGCCTTACAGGCTTGTTTCTGACTCTACAGTGATCATTGTATTATTTTTGAAGCACGGGAAAAAATTGTAATTGCAAGCATTGACCAGTGAGGTAATCCCATACACACAGAAAAGGCGAGCGTTTTCTGGCAGACAATCTAGCAATGCATTCAAGTTTTTAAAGCGTGTGTCTGCCTACCTCAAGGAATTTAAGAAAGAAGTGAGCAAAAAAAAAAAAAAGTGAGCAAATGAGCAGTGATTTAGCTATCAGGACAGTCATTAAAGTTCTGTTTCTAACAACAAAAAGTCAGATGTTAACCTTAGTTAAATAAATTACCAGCACAAGAGAATCATTAAAATAACAGTGGAGAGGAATGGGTGTGGCTGGACCTGTGAGGTCCAGACCTAGGTCTAGGCACCCGCTTGGGCCAGCAGGGCCAGCTCCCCAGACACAAAACATCAGGGGTGTTTTGTGTAAAATTAGACCTTCAGTTTCAGTTCAGTCGCTCAGCCATGTCTGACTCTTTGCAACCCCATGGACTGCAGCACACCAGGCTTCCCTGTCTATCACCAGCTCCCAGAGCTTATTCAAACTCATGTCCATTGAGTCAGTCTTAGAAATGGGCTTCCCTGATGGCTCAGTAGATAAAGAATCTACCTGTATTAGAGACATAGGAATCTCCTGTATTGGAGACATAGGAAATGTGGGTTTGATTCCTGGGTCAGGAAGTACCCCTGGAGGAGGAAATGGCAACCCACTCCAGTGTTCTTGCCTGGGAGATCCCATGAACAGAGGAGCCTGGTGGGCTACAGTCCATGGGGTCACAAGAGTCGGACATAACTTGGCGACTAAACCACCAGTTTTACAAACATCTTTTTCTCCTTATATCTTCCCCTGTCATTATGTGTATACAGGCCTTTACCTTATTCTTAAATTTGTCATGTCATCTGTCATAGCTTGTATTGATGAGCATCTTGTCACCACATGTGCTGCAGTGAGCGTCACTGTTCACATTCCTTGTACATGTGCCTTTTTATGTGTGTGGAGTGCTTAGCCGGACCACGTAGACATTTGAAATTTTTTTTCTTTTTTTTTTTTTGAAATTTTCTTAAAGTGAAAAGTGAAAGTCACTCAATCGTGTTTGACTCTCTGCAACCCCATGGACTATACAGTCCGTGGAATTCTCCAGGCCAGAATATTGGAGTGGTTAGCCTTTCCCTTCTCCAGGGGATCTTCCCAACCCAGGGATTGAACTCAAGTCTCCTGCATTACAAGCAGATTCTTTACCAGCTGAGCATCAAGGGAAGCAAATTTTCATAAGGCATTGCCAAATTCCCACTCAAAGGGCAATGTCATTCTGCTGTAGCAGTGAGTGGAGCTGCCTGTTTTCCCACACTGTGGTCACAGCTGGCTCAGATTTTACAGAATGTCTTTGCCAGTTTTATGAGCAACTGTGCAGTATCACTGCTTCACTTTCATTTCTTTTACTAGTGAGGTTGACCATTTTCTCTTTTTTAATTAATATTTTACTTTATTTATTCTATTTTAGCCACAGTGTGCAGCCTGCAAGATCTTAGTTCCCCATCCAGGGATTGAACTTTTGCCCCTGCATTGGGAGTGCAGTCTTAGCCACTTGGAGTCTCACATGTGCTGTGTTCAAGGCTCCTCGGGCTGTCAGTTTAATATGTCAAAGCTTGTTTCCAGATCTGCCAGGAGAACTATTGCCACAAACAATCTTCATCTATTTCTTTTTTATTTTCTGTCACAAAGTTAGTATTCACTCCTTTTACAAACCTTCGTTTTGAAATAGTACTAAACATAAAAAGAAGTTGCAGGCGTGCTCTCCTATACCCTTTACTGGGTTCATTAATTTTTAACATTGGTCAGATTTGATTTTTCTTTGTATGCATATATATATTTTCTAACCTGAGCTATGTGAGAGTTGGTTGCTTACATTGTGCCTTTTATCCCTTAATACTTGAGTTATATTTCCTAAGAATGAGGACATTCACCAGTGTACCTTCAGTACACACTTGGAATTTAACTACTTTAGGAATTTTAACTAATCTTCCATACGGATTCCATTTTTTTCCTGCCCATGATCCAGTCCAGGATTAGGCACTGTTTTGTTGTCCTGTCTCTTTCATCCACTTCAGCCTTTCATGGTACTGATACTTTTGAAGCATAAGGTTAGGCTTTGTTGTTGTTGAGCTGCTAAGTTGTGTCTGAATCTACGACCCCGTGGACGGTAGCACGCCAGGCTTCCCTGCCCTCACTGTCCCAGAATTTGCTCAGGTTCATGTCTGTTGAGTTGGTGATGCCATCCTCTGCTGCCCCCTTTTCTTCTTGGCCTCAGTCTTCCCCAGCATCAGTGAATTATCTCTTCGCATCAGGTGGTTAAAGTATTGGAGCTTCAGCTTCTTTATCAGTCAGTCCTTCCAATGACAGTTCAGGGTTGCTTTCCTTTAGGATTGACTAGTTTGATCTCCTTGCTGTCCAGAGGACTCCCAAGAGTCTTCTCTAACTCACAATTCAAAAGTATCAGTTCTTCAGCACTCGGCCTTCTTTAAGGTACAACTCTCACATCCATACTTGACTACTCGAAAAACTATAGTTTGTGACTAGATGGACGTTTGTCGGAAAAGTGATGTCTCTACTTAGTTATGTTATAGACCGTCTTTCAATTTCGGTTCACTTAAGTTTCCTTATCAAGTGATAAGGTTGATAGGCTTCTGATAAGGTTCAGATGGTGCGTTTTTGCTGAAACATGGCACAGATTGTATCTCATAATGAGAAACCCAAACTGCATGCCCTGTGTCCCCAGGGAAGTGTTATGACCAGCTGGCCCCCGGCATTCCCTGCCCTGAAGGAAGAAGAGAGCAGCGAGGAGGAGGTCGCGGCAGCCGCCCCCGCCCAGGAGCAGGAGCCCGTCCCCGCGGAGCTGGACGGAGTGCAGACCCCGGAGCCCCTAGAGGGCTTCCCCAAGCATGAAGACCAGGAAGGCTCCTCGCCGGAGACCAGCCTGCCGTACAAGTGGGTGGTGGAGGCTGCCAACATCCTCATCCCGGCCGTGGAGTCCGGCCTCTCGGAAGCCCTGGACTTGATCGAGTCGGTAATGTTGGTTGCGGGGCTTCCTGGTGGGCCCTGAGCACCTCTGGCAGGAGCACTTGTGCCCCTAGACGGCTGTCCTTCCGTCTGCCCATTGTCTCGCCGACGTGGCTGAGCCTGGCAGCCCCAGGAGAGCGGCGGTGCCGCCCCTGTCTTCAGGGAGCTCCTGACTCACCCGCGAAGCCCGGGGGGTGGGGAGGGCGTGGGGTCCTTAGCAGCACCGCAGAGCACTGGCGCTCGTGGTGGGGCTGACGGCCGGGTGTCTGGAGAGGACCCCGGGCAGGGCGGGGGCTTGGGGCTGCGGCTGCGGCGGTGAGTGCGTCCTGGTTGCTCAGGGAGAGCCGCCCTGAACCACGCTGGCTGTGGGCTGTGCCCCTTGCGGAGGGGCTCCGGTGGGGGCTGCACTTCTCCGGGTGACTTCACCTCTCCGTCCGCCAGGCCTGAGGCGTGGAGTGGGTTTCAGGAGGTGGTGGGCAAGAGGCTGGTGACTAGGGAGGCCGAGGGGTTCAGTGGGCAGCACCCACACAAGCCTTCCCACTTACGCTTCCTCTTATTAGCTGAGCATAATGATGCTGTTGATTGAACATCTGCTGAGTGTCAGGCTGTGGGCCTAACAAGTAGTCCACGTGGTATCTTGGGAGGGGTGTCTTGTCTGTGTTTTTGTAGATGAGGGTGAGGCTCAGAGTTCAGATAGTGTATCCAAGTTCACACAGCGAGTAAGGTCTTAACCATCGTGCCCAGGGTCCTGCCCAGTGAGGGGTTAGACTGTGAAGTCAGTCTCAAGGGGCTGCCTGCTCAGACCCTCTGGGTTTCCCTGCTTGCCACGGTGGCAGGAACTCTGGTGTCTCATCCACCAGAAGGGACTTCAGAGTTAGCTGGGTGTGTCAGTCTGTTGAGCGAACTGCCCTGGGGCCACCGAGGGCAGGCTGAGATGAGCGCTGTCCCGCCCTGCTGGTGCTGCCTCGGTCCATCCTGACTGTTCTCTCGGGCACCTGTCATGACCCCGTCCTGGTGCCCCTTCTGTGATAAGTTTCTAACCCGAGTGCCTGCCACGTGCCAGGCGCACTGCTTGCTGCCTCTGTATGCTCTCCGTCCTTAAACAGCCTGTGAAGGGTGTTGGGTGGTGGACTCAGCCCAAGCTCAGAGAGCTTAGGAGGCTCATCCAGCGTCACACAGCTGGCGAGTGCTGAGCTGGGCTGTCTCCACGATGACCTTCAGTGACTGATGGGGGGTCACAGTAGCTGCAGAAACACTGCCGTCCGTCCCCCGGGCCAGTCCTTGGCGCATGTGCTCAGGTCTGTTAGATGCTGTGAATTCCAGGGCCCCCGCAAGGTTGGCGTTCCTGCTGGGAGGTGGCCCTGGAGTCAGCACTGCCCTGAGCCGCCCTCCACCTTCGGGAATGGACTTGCCAGGCTCCTGTGAGCTCCAGGGACCAAAGTGGAAACTTGTGTCTCCAGAAGCCCTAGGGCTAGGTTGTAATTAACTAGGCAAAGGCAGAAAGGACCCAAGCGTTCCTTTCAGAATTACTCTTAGAAACTTGGTGACCTTGGCAGAATCACACCCTCTCTGACTTGGCTGCCTCGGGTTGAAAGGGAGAGAGTAATACTCCCTCAGGGTGGCTAGCGGGTGGATACGGTTTAGCTGAAGCACCCAGTGAGGTGCCATGATGGACAGGCTCACGGAGCCCAGGGCCGCTCCTGTCTGGGAACATGACTGGCAAATGAAGACCCTTCATCCTGCTCATGGCCTTGGGCCCAGGTCTTCACTTCCAGGTGTCTATCAAAAAACAGATTTATATCCAAGATGTTCATAAAGAACATCTGTATTTAATCTTTTAAGAATTAGGAGGAAGAACTCAAATGTCCAACAGAAGGGGATTGAGTAACATATGTTCAAACGATAGAACATTTTTCAGCTGTAAGAATTATTATAGAAGTTAATGTTTTTATAACAACAACTAAAGTCTACTGATGGTAAACATTAAACTTTGGTAATAGAATAAGGTGCCTGTATTTTTCCAGCTCTACAGAAATTTTAAACGGAAAAAGAAGCGAAATAGAAATGATTTGTACTAAAGTTAGGAATGTTGAAAATACTAAGTATTTAGGGACACATGTTAGTGTTAATTGATAAATGCATAAACATGGTCAATACTTAATTTCAGCAGTGGTTTCCTGCATGCGGGCAGAGGTTTGCCAGGTAGACTTGGAGCTTTAGTGATAAGGTTTTATTTCTTAGGCTTCTTGATGGGCATATGAGTTTTCTTTGTATTTTTCTCGGTGTTTTTTGTATATCTTAAAAACACATAGCACTTTTTTTTTTTTTCAAAAACAACTTTATTCATGACACATATTAAAAAAAAAACTCCCACCCCCTGGAAATGAGCTAAAAAAATAAACAAAATCCACCTCCCACCTCCCTGTTCCCACTTCCTCCCATTCCCTCCAAATAAAAGGGAAAAAAAAAGGCAAAGAAAAACAAAACAAAAAAACTGAAAAACAAAAAACACCCCAAAACCCCCCAAAACAAGGTAGTGCATTTCCCCAAGGGGAAGGGGAATTTACACTGGAGCCGCTGGGAGCGGAAGGGAGATCTTCCGGCTACAGAAACCTGCAAAGAAAGACACTCAAAACAGAAAAAGAAACACAAAAGGAAACAAAATAGATCACCAGGCAATCTGGAGGGGCAGGGAGCCAGAAAAGAGGGGTGGGGTGGGTGGTAGACCTGGCAGGACAGGAGCAGGCAGGAGGGGACTGTGAAAGTTAGGGAGAAGATTGGAGGGAAGGTAACAAGCAGAACAGTTTGGTGTCCTTCCAGAGCCCTGGGTAAAAAAAGCCCTCCTACCACCCATGCCCACCTACCCTTGAGCAGCCCCCAAGGGGGCAGAGGGGAACAGGGAAACAGGGGGAGCAGCTTGCGCGATTGAGACGTGTCCATGGCGAATCCCCAGAGTGAGTGAGCAGCCCCCTGGCCCCACTCCCCGGGCCTCCCCCTACTCCCCAAAGCAGGTCCCCCTCAGCAGTTAGTTATGGGATTCTCCCCCCTTCCACAGTATATCTTTTTTTAAAAAAATATATTTTTTTTCCATCAAGGTCATCTTCTGTTTTTCTTTTTTTTTTTTTAATTCTTTTTTTTTTTTTTCCTTCTTTCCTCTTTTTTTCCTCTCTCTCCTCCTAATACACACTTTTTTTTAGTAAGGGGAATACCATGATGTCGCTCTAGCCCGGCCCCTGTAGACGCGACCCCGGGGCCTGCTGTTAAAACCACTGTAGAATCGAGAGCGGGAACAGTTGTAGTTGGTGGCTCGGGCACGGTATCGGGCTCGTGGGAAACCTCGGTCTGTTGTGCTGATGCCTGGTCTGTTGGTTCGTTTAGGGATCACCTTGATCTGTCTTCCTCTAAATAAGGATTCATCTAAGGCCAGGGAAGTCCTCACTGACTCTTTGTCTGAGAACTCTATATACGCAAACCCTTTGGGATGGCCACTAAATTTGTCACAGAGTATAGTAACACGGTTGACTGAACCACAGCCATGAAAGTGTGCTTCCAGCTCTTCTGCTGTTGCACCATAGTCCACATTGCCAACATAGATGGAACGGGCATCAGCCTCCATCTTCTCCTCAATGGACATGATCACTGGGCCAGCATTGCCCGGAGGTGGACTCATATTCATCTGCTTCTCTACCTCGTTCTGTAGCTCCTTCAGCTTCTCAGCTTCTTCCTCCATCTCCCTAACTCGAGCTTTGATCGCTTCCAGCTCCGGGTCCTCAATGGCGCCGTCCCCCGGGTCACCCTCGACCAGTCCCGGCTCCTCCTCCTCCTCCTGGTTGCCGGGGGCTCCCGAGCCAGGCCCAGGGCCCGGAGCTTCCGGGGGGGCGCGGGGCCGGGGCGGCTCCTCTTCGGGCTCGGGCTCCGGCTCGGGCTCCAGCAGCAGCTCCTCAGGCTCCAGTTCCTCAGACTCCAAGCCGTTCCCGCAGTCCCCTGCGCCCCCCGGGGCCCCCTCCCCGGCCTCCCCACCGGCCCCGGGCACAAGATGGCGCCGCCGCCCCGGCCCGGAGCCCCGACCACCCGCAGCCCCCGCCGCCGCCGCCATCGCCGCCAGCGCTTTTTTTTTTAATAACAGCGAGCAGCCATGTGCATGATGGGATTTCAGTAATATTTACAAATACAGATATACAGACATCGAAGAATCTTTGAAGAAAGGCAAAGAAAAGTTAAGAGTGATTGTTCCTGGGCTATGGAATCAGGGTTTTTTTGTTGTTGGTTGTGCCACATGGCATGCGGGATCTTGGTTCCCTGACCAGGAATTGAACCCGTGCCCCCTGCAGTGGAAGCGTGGAGTTTTAACCACGGGGCCGCCAGGGAGTTCCCCGTGGGATCGTCCTTGACGCTCTGTTATTTTCCAGTAGCACATGAGCCCTTTGGTTTATTAGCCGCTGGAAAGCCGGTTACTCCTAACCCCGCTTCCTGTCTCTGGGCAGGACCCCGATGCGTGGTGTGACCTGAGTAAGTTTGACCTCCCTGAGGAGCCGTCGGCCGAGGGCAGTCTCGTGGGCAGCCCGGGGCAGCCCCAAGCCTGGCAGCAGCAGCAGCCCGCGCCTCCCCGGCCAGCCGCCGCCGCGGCACCCAGCGTGACCGAGTACCGCCTGGACGGCCACACCATCTCCGACCTGAGCCGTGGCAGCCGGGGGGAGCTGATCCCCATCTCCCCCAGCACTGACGTGGGGGGCTCGGGCGTGGGCACGCCGCCCTCCGTGCTCAAGCGGCAGAAGAAGAGGCGTGTCGCCCTGTCCCCTGTCACGGAGAACAGCGCCAGCCTGTCCTTCCTGGACTCCTGCAACAGCCTCACCCCGAAGAGCACGCCCGTCAAGACCCTGCCCTTCTCGCCCTCCCAGGTGCGTGCACCCCGCTCCGACTGCTCACTGGGAGCGGGTGATGGCCTCCCGCCGCCCAGTAAGGCCATTCACTGGGTGTCTGCAGGCCCTGTGCCTGGTGCTGGGGACGTGGGACCCCGGACCAGGTCTGGCCCTGCCCTCGTGAAGCTTAGGAAGACCATTTCAGAGCTACTTTTTTTTTCCTTCTGAAAAGAAGCTGCTCTCAGACAGCCAGCTTGCTTTGCCTTAAGTTCACGGCCAGCGGCACAGGGGGGTGGGAGGTGGACCTCCCGTCAGGCTGGCCAAGGGAGGATTGGGCGACGCCAAGCCAAGGGTCCACACGGACCTGCCTGCCTGTCCTGGCCTTTGCTCCCCGGCCCTGAGCTCATCGCCTCGCCTGGTTTCCTGTGTCTTCCTGGCAGTTTTTGAACTTCTGGAATAAGCAGGACACACTGGAGCTGGAGAGCCCCTCGCTGACGTCCACACCCGTGTGCAGCCAGAAGGTGGTGGTCACCACGCCGCTGCACCGGGACAAGACGCCGCTGCACCAGAAGCACGCTGCGTGAGTGCCGGGCCTGCCCCTCCGCCCCGGCAGGGACCGGCTCTCGGGGCGAGGGACACCTGGGACTCTCGTTTCATGAAGGCAGCCTCCTCCTGGTCATCACACCTGCTTCATCAGTGTAGTCTGGTGCTTCACTTTTGTTCTAATTCTGTTTTTTTTTCTTGTTTTGTTCGTTTGGCCACATGGCTTGCGGGAACATAGTCCCCAACCAGGGACTGAACCTGTGCCCTCCGCAAAGTGCCGAGTCCTAACCACTGGACCACCAGGGAATTCCTCTTTTTTATTTTTTTAATTGGATGGTTTTCTAAATTCGGAGATTAGAAATGTGGAGAGTCTGCCTTGCCACGAAAAATGTAATGTTTGCGTCATTTTTGTAAGTTTCGAGTGCAGATCCACTGTGCTTGCGCAGCTCTACGGGAAGGACCCAAGGCCCCCCAGGTCTCCCCATCTTTCTGGTGCTCAGGAGGGACGGCTGTGTTCACCTTCAGGCCTCTACAGGTTGCTTACCTGCTTCTGTGGAGGTGCTTTCACAATAAGTTTTCTTCCTTGTATCATCATGACCCTTGAATTCCAGGTAGAGTTGCTTAACTGGTCTTGGCCTTGTTACATTTGCTGGGTGGGGGAGAAGCATTGCTATTTATATTTCAGGAGTCAGGCTGTAATTCAGGGATCTGTTCAGGAATTTTAGTTCTCGTAATGATAGGTAATTTCAGATGTATGGATCCTTTCGGTCAGAAATCAGTCTTTCAACGACAGATTTAAAATTTAACTTAGATAGGTTTCATGAGAAGTGATTCTCCTGTCAGGTTGAAATCTTGGTTTTCAAATCTTAGCTCTTAGACATCTGGCACCACAAGAGGAGTTGCTGCTTCTCCAGAGAGATGTGGGGGGGGGTGTGGTCTTCCTGGCCCCCCGCCCTCCTTGCCTGCCCCTTCTCCCGCTGGTGCTGCAGTCTGGCCACAGGCCGCCTTGTTTTATGGAAAATCCTAGTGACGGCAACACCGTCAGCTGTTCTTCCACCCATTCGGGTCTCCTGGCCTCCCGCAGGCTCTTCCTGTTCTTTGCTGTTTCTGAGGACGGCCCTTCCTCTCTGCCCCAGGAAGCCCCTCTTGCAGATGGGGAGGTGCGTGGGTGGGCAGATGGGATGGGAAGAGACCACGTCTGGGGGCTGCCTTTCTGCCACTGAGACCAAAGGTCAGTTGGGGGTGTGGGAGTCAGGGGCAGCCCACGGCAGAGCCCTCCAGCGCCGTCGCCCAGCCTCCTCCTCCATGCCCGGCAGGTTTGTAACACCAGATCAGAAGTACTCCATGGACAACACTCCCCACACACCGACCCCGTTCAAGAACGCCCTCGAGAAGTACGGACCACTAAAACCCCTGGTAGGTGGTGTGGCCGGGCCAGGCCTCCAGCCGTTTATGGTCACTTGCCCTGTCCTGAGATCCCATTAGCGTCTCCCAACTGCCCTGAGAAGTCGCGATTCCCTAGGTTGATAAGCAGGGCCCCCTGTTACAGTGAGTTACCAGCTTGCCAGATGTCTCTGGAGCAACCACCATGCAGGTGGTGCTGGCTGGTGCTGGCACCACAGCGGCGTCCTGGTGGAGCTGGAGGTGGTGGAGGCCAACATCCAAGTGACCAAATAACTCAGCTCGTGGCCGTGCCAGGCAGAACGCGGACAGGTGTTGGGATGGAGAAGGACTTGCGTGGGTGCTGCGAGCTTGTTGAGGAAAGTGGCAAATTGCTCTGCAAACCTGAGCCTGTTGACTGGCTGGAGACAGCTGGCCAGTGCAGACGTCTCCTGGGTTGCTTTCCCCGCAGTGTGAGGATGGCCATTCTCCCCCGACTCCTCCCGGTTCATCAGATGGTCCTGCTTTCCAACAGGGCTGGCACCCCGGGATTTTCTGAAGCAGGCTGTTTCTGAGAACCCAGTTGCAGGTGGGAGGAAGGCAGGTCCTGGAGAAGAATCCCTGCAGCGATCTCCCCTCCCAGCTCACCATGGGGGGCCGAGGCGGGGGGCCGTGGTCTCCCCATCCTGGCGTGGAGCTGCCGGAGTTGCACAGTCAGCCCGGCCGTTTTCCAGCTCGGACTCAGCTCCCAGATACTGAGTGTGCTCGCAGGACACATCCAAGAGGGCGAGTCTGACCTTGGCAGGATAGTTCAAGTACCCAGGGGCTTTTAGAGTGACTTCCCCGGTTTCGCTGTGCCCTGCACCCCCTGGCTTCTGCCACCTGAGTGCCCAGGCCCAGGAAATGGACGTGGAACTAAGACCTCTGTTAGCGTGGGGCGGAGGCGTGGAGGAGTTTGGGCTCTGAGCATGTCCAGGCTCAAAGCTCACAGCCGTGTGGCCCTAGGCCAGGCTCTTGCGCTCTCTGAGCCTCTGTACCCAGCGGAGGATGCCAGCTGATTCCTCGGGCTGGGTGAGGGTGGCTGTGATGAAGTGGAGTGCTCCCACCCCTCAGGGAGCTGAGGACAGTTAACGACCATGGACGCCATGTGTGAGGCCAGCATCCCAGCTCCAGGCCACCTCCGGCATCACTCAGGGCAGCAGAGGTGCGGCCTGTCTGTCCTGCCGCCCCCACGAGCAGGCTCAGCCTGTGTCCTCCGGCTTGGGCGCGGAGCCTCACCCTGACCATCCCTGCCTGCAGCCCCAGACCCCCCACCTGGAGGAGGACTTGAAAGAGGTGCTGCGCTCCGAGGCCGGCATCGAGCTCATCATCGAGGACGAAGTGAGGCCCGAGAAGCAGAAGAGGAAGGCCGGGGTGAGCGGCTGGCGGGGTGGGGGGCGGTGGGGCGGGGGCCCGGCCGTCTGTTCCTGCAGCCTGGTGGTCCATGACATCGGCCGGTGCAGCTGCCTGCCACCTTTCCCTCTCCCCTTGAACTGGTTCCTTGCCTATTCCGCGTTGTTTGGACCCACCTGAAGTGGGCTCTGGGCCGGGCGGGATGGGTAGAGGGATGATTAAGACCCAGAGGGGGTCGCTCCTAGAGTTCAGTGGGCAGAAATGGCAAACACCCTCAGTGACTCAGTACACGCGGCATTCGGGGACAGAAAAGGCCCAAAGAGGATTTCAAGGGGCATCCTTCAGACGGAGCCGCCGGCCAACTGTCGGGGCAGCGTGAGGAGTGGGGCCAGCCGGTTCAGGTGAGGTCGGGAGTGGGTAGGGACACTGCTCTGGACGCCCGGGTGCGGAGGGCCAGTCCACGCTGGACAGGCCTGTCCCACCCCCAGCCCACGTTGTTTCCTGACCACAGGCGGCTCTGTGTCCCCTGTTTTGAAGCCCCTTTCTTCCCAGGCACTCTCTAAGGAGAAGGGAAGACAGGAGTGGGACAGGATGGTGGTGGGTGGGGATGGTGGGTGGCCAGGCTGGGAGGGGACCCTCCAGCTGGGCCCCCCGGTGTGTGGGCAGAGCATGACCGGGGCCCTCCCTGGCCTCTCTGTGTCTGAAGGTGGTTCCGAGCCAGGGTAGCAGCTATTTTGGGCACAGAGTTTGGGAACAGGTGTCAGTCTCAGAGGCCCTCCCTGGGGTCGGAGCCACCCCCTGATCTGCTTATAGGAGGTGCAGGGCTTGGGGGCTGGGCATTCCCATAACAGCCTGTGTCCCACGCGGTCTTGCGTCTCTGTAGCTCCCCAGCAGGTGGGTGTTCTAGCTGCAACTTGCCTGTGTGGGGGAGTGCTCAGTGCAGTACAGACTTGGGCTGCACTTGGTCCCCTTGGGGATGAGGTTGGGTGGAGGTGGCGCTGCTCACCAGTAGCTGGTGAGCAGCTGGCAGGACAGTCTGCTCTATGGACAGAGTCTGCGACGGGGCCAGTGTCACCAGGCGCTGGGGGTGACGGGAATCCAGGCGTGTGCCCTAACCACCACCTCCCCCCAGATGCGGCGAAGCCCCATCAAGAAAGTCCGCAAGTCCCTGGCTCTCGACATTGTGGACGAAGACGTGAAGCTGATGATGTCCACGCTGTCCAAGGTTGGTAAGGGGTCTAGGAGAGAAGCCGTCCTGTGAGGCCACCCCCTGCTCCCTACCCAGCTGCAGGAGGCTGAGAGTATGGAGTTGCCCTGGGGGGCCTGCGCCTCTGGGGCCCTTTAGCCTGGAGAGCCCTGGAGGTGGAGTCGGCGGGGCTTTCGTGTGCCGGGCTCAGCGGGGAGGAAGGGGGCAGGTGGCACTGGGCGTTCGCACACTGGTGTCGATCCAGGCCGCCCTGCTCTTGTCCTTCACAGAAGGTTCGGTTGGCAAGCATTGGCTGCTAGAACTTGTTGGGCACGTGTGTTTTCTGAGTCCCCTGCACCTTCCCTTGTATTACACTGCTAGGGAAGACCCCGGAGATGGTCAGTGAGGTGCCTCAGGACCCCGCCAGGTGATCGGGGCACCTCTGCCCTGGCATGGGTGCTGCCCTGTTCCCAGGCCAACCTCTGGAGGGGCCACTGCTTCCACAGAGCCTGGGCCCCAGAAACCATGCCGGGCAATCAATCCCTTGCAGCAGGCAGTGGGGTGAGCTTGTTTTTCTCTGGTAGCCGGTAGCAGACAGTGAGGGCTGTGGAAAGGCCCACAAGACAGATCATTGCCTGGCAGCTCCTATAGGTCCGCCTGCCACTCTTACAGTCCTGGCAGAGAAAGCTCCATCTAATGAGGCATCCATGGCAGACCAGGAACTTGGTGCTCTCCAGCCAGACCCTTGAGCGAGTGAAATAACTAGTGAAAAGAGAAAAAGCCAGGTGAACTGGTTAAATGCAGAGGAGGTGGAGCAGAGGGCCTGGTCTCTGGCATCTCCGCTGCCTGCAGAGTAAAGGCCTGTCCAGGAGGCGGCCCAGGCCTGGGGCTGCCTTGACCAGCCCCCCCATGGGTGCTTCTGGTCCCCGGAGAAGCCGGAATACCCTCGTCTCCACCTGAGACGGGGAGGAACCAGCTTCATGTAAAAGGAACCTGTGTTCCTGGGTGTTCATCAGGTGCCAGGCTCTGAAACAGGCACTTGCAGCTGTTTTCCTACTTCATCTTTAAATGAAGCGGAAGCTGAGGCTCAGAGAAGTATCATCTCCTGCCCACATCTTCTGCCCAGACCTCCCGGAGGCGGTGGCACTGGGATGTGCCTGCTCTTTTATGTTCTCCCTCCCACGGAAAGCCTGTGGCAAAACGCTGAGCCTTTGACTTGGTTTTGCTTTCAGCCGACCAGCATCCTCGCAGCGGGCTCCTCAGGCCTCACCCCGTCGGGCAGCAGAGAGGACAGCAGCCTGCTCAACGAGGGCTTCCTGCAGGCCAAGTCCGAGAAGCCAGCGGCCCCGAAGCCCCGGGGCCACTTTCCCACCCCTGCTCCCGTGAGTGCTGCCCCTCGGGGCCTCGCTCTGTGATCTCCACATCACAGGGCCTTTGCACCAGCTTTGCCTCTGCATGATGCCCTTCTGTGGCTCTGCTGACTGATGAATGTGGGCTTCACATCTCTGTCCCGATGCCACTCCCTCGGGGGACCTGGGTACCAGAGCTCTCCCTCCACAAAGCCACTCCTTCACGATGTGGTCTCACTCGTAATTAAGACATGTCTCCGTGACTTTGTCCTTGAAGACAGGGATCCCCTGCCTGTTTTCCCAGCCATATGCAGCCTCTCTGCTGCTCTCCAGCCTGCAGAACTGTAGCTTTTTTCCTCCCCTGGGGGCTGTTGCAACGTGATCGGCACGGGGGAGGGCGGGGGCTTGTGTCCTGGTCCAGCCTCCTTGCTCTATTCCTGAGGACGCTCAGAGATGGCACTGACTCCCCAGGTCCACCAGGAAGGTGCAGTGAGCACAGATTGTGGCTTCTAGAGGGAGGGAGCATGATAGAAATGTCCCCACCCCAACCAGGGTCTCCAGGCTTCCCTAGGAGCCCCAGCCACTGCCTGGATGGTAACCCCCTTTCTTCCTCCCAGATGACCACCGCCTGGAAGACAGTAGCCTGCGGGGGCACCAGGGACCAGCTCTTCATGCAGGAGAAAGCCCGGCAGCTCCTGGGTCGCCTGAAGCCCAGCCACACATCTCGGACCCTCATCTTGTCTTAGGGGCTTGGCAGTCACGAGCCCGTTCTCATGTTTACAGGGGGCTGGGGGTCTGATTCTGGGCTGTGAATTTGAGAATCGCACTCAGACGACCGCCTGCAGGGAGCCTTCTGCCACCAGCCCCTCCCGGACTGCTCAGGTGGGGACAGGCAGGCCCACCTACTGACCTGTCTCCGAGCCCGGCTGCAGCTGCGGGCAGTTCCTGGTGCTAACAGAACAAAGTCCCACCTCTGAGCTGGCCTGGCCCTCCCCGAGTGCCATAGGGAGCCCTCAGCTTCTCCCAAGCCCTGGTCAGGCCTGCCCTCATCTCAGACCCCTGCTTAGGACAGGGGACCTACCTAGCCAGCGTGCTCCTTCTTGCAACTTGGTGCATTTTCTTGAAAGAATAAAAGTTGCCTTTCTCCTGTGCTCTGAACTCCACCTTCCTCCTGGATCCTGCTTGCAGTTCCCTGGTGACTGTCCTTAGGGCCCTGAGGGATGGGACCTGACCCTCATCCTCAGTGTCACCTTGTCTGCTCAGCCCAGGCCTGGGGCTCTGGACCCTATTGACCCTGGGAACCCAAGGTGTTGGGAGGCAGTTTTCTCTGCACCCAAGTGTCTCAGGGCTCCGAGGTCTCTTGGCTGTTGGGTGGGGTTGGGGGAAGGTGGGACAGTGGTGGGCCTTTGCCGTAGTGGCTGGACTGGCCTGTGATCGGCCCCACACCCAGATCAGGCTGGTAAAGCAGGAGTAACCATCAGCCGGGTGGAACTTGGCCACAGTGGTCCTAACTCGCCAAGGCCGTGGCAGCAGCTCCAGCCTGGACTCTGGCCCTCCCTCGTCATGGCCCAGTGCACAGAGACTGGGGCCCTTGGCTTGTAAGCTGGGAAGAGTCCCTGGCGGGGCGGGGGCAGGTCCCAGGAGGTCTATATTGAGGAGCGATGTTTATATCAGCAGGATCCCTCGGATGGGGCCTTGTGGCCATCCCCGGGGGCTGGGATCTCAGTTCACCACAGGACAGCCTGGTATCCGTGACCTGCTTCAGCGCCTCTGGTTCCCCAGGGAGACTTGGAGGCAGGGCGTCTTGCCTGGGGTCCCCATCCTCTAAAGAGAAGAAGACTGGAGTTAGCGGGGTTCAAGTCTGTCTCTGACGCGCCGTCTCGGTCGAGGCTGCTCACTGTCGCCCAGTATCAGCAGTCTTCCCCAGATGGCCCCCATGTGCTCACACACAGTTAAGCCTGGCTTGAACCCTGACCTGCTGCACCTGATGCCTGTTTGAGACCTGGGACCGGCCTTCACTTCCCACCTGCCTCCCACAGTCTCACGTGGCCCAGCTGGACCAGCCAGGCTGGGCCATTGCCTGCTTTCCGCGCCGTCTGTGACTGCTGATTTCTGGGGTTGGATCACCCCTTTGCTCCCTACCAGATTCTTCCCCCTGGTGACCTGCGGGACCCAAGCGCTGTCCCTGACTGCCCCAAGCAGGGCTGCTGGCTTTGATGGGCAACCTGCCCTGCAGTGAGGTGGGGGTGTCTTTACTGTGACTGGAACACCCAGAGCAGACCCTGCGTGCCTTGGGACAATTTGCACACCATTTCCCCCACTCCAGGTGCATCACGGGGGGAATGGAGATGGCACCAGTGGTAAAGAACCCGCCTGCCCGTGCAGGGGATGCAAGAGACGCAGGTTCGACCCCCAAGTCAGGAAGATTCCCTGGAGAAGGGCATGGCAACCCATGCTAGTATTCTTTCCTGGAGAATCTATGGACAGAAGAGGCTGGCAGGCTACAGTACATTGGGTCGCAGAGTCGGAACACAACCGAAGCGACAACACGCACGCACAGGTTCATCATAAGCTCCCGGGGGGCAGTTCATAATGACCTGGCCTGCAACCTGTCAGGGGCTTCTGCCCAGCACCCCCTCCCCGCAGTCCTACTCACCCACTCTGGCTTATCCTGAGGTTCTTCCCTGTCCCCTGAAGGAGGTGGCCACAGTAACTGCAGACCTGTTAGCTTGTCCAGGAGCTGTTTGCTCTGCATGAAATACACATCCAGGGTTTTTTCAACTCCTACCACCCTCTGGTGAGGCATGGTCCTGCTGCTGAGCAAAAAAAGAAAGTACCCCCTCCCCCTACCACGCTACCCTTAAACAATCTCACTCTCCTGGGTCTTAGATCCTACCAGGGGCAGACAAATCTATACATAACATGCTGGGGGCAATAGGGGCTTGGAAGAAAAACAGCAGGGGAGTGATGGCATGGGGCTGGGCTCTCTGCTGTGAGGTAGGGGGAGGGTTGAGACGTTCGTCCACCGTGTGGAGAGGAAGGAAAGAGCCCACTCAGGAATGGGGGTATTGGGTGCCGCTGAAAGGAGGCTGAGGGCCCTGCTTGAAGTTTGATCATGAGATTTGGGCCACAGAGCTCCAGGGGGGCCTGTGGCTTTGGGGATCTTGACTATTCCGGCTGCTCTAGAGCCTGGTGTTTTCCAGGCCAGAGTAACAAGCCAGGAAGGAACAAGCCCGCAGAGGCTGAGCTGCTAATCTATATACCCAGAAGCAGGAATGATGGAAGAATGGTATTCCTATTTTTTCCTATGTTGAATTATGTTTTGTTCCAATTAGGTTTCTGGTACTTTGAAAAAAACTGGATTAGTAGCACTTTTGCAAAGATGATGCTACTCTATCGCCACCTGGTGGCCATTGATGTGTTTGCGGCAGCAGGCAAAGTGCGCCCATAGGAGTTTCTAGGTAGGTCCTTGAAGCGTTTTTCTGATTTTTCAGACCCCTTCTTGAACATCTGCATCAAGCAGTTGTCTGGCCTTTGCTTGAACACTTCCACTGATGAGGAGAGGTGACTCTATTACTCAACAGCCAGTTCCATGGTGGATAGCAGTTGTGAAGAAAATGATTCTTTACCCATAGAAAAAAATTTCTCCCTTGTAATACCAAAGCAATAGGAAAGCTGCTTGGGGAACTTCCCTGGTGGTCCAGTGGCTAAGACTCCATGCTCCTAATACAGGGGGCCCAGGGCTCCATCCTTGGTCAAGAACAATCCCATAGGCCACAACTAAGAGCTTGCATGCCATAACTAAATATCCCACATGCAGCCAAATAATTTTTTTTTTTAAAGAAAGAAAAGTGATTGGTGGGGAAATAAGGCTCTCAGAACAGGTAATTGATAGGCCATATTAGCTTGGGACTGAGATTGTCTAAATGAGCCACTTTCTCAGCAGGCCCCAGTGTGAATCATTTCTATATTCCATCTATTTCCAGAGATCACCAAAGCTCTGATGAACGGTGACGGCAGTGATTTAACTCCCTGTAAGTTGGATTTTATGTTTCCACTCTTGGCTGGATATGCTTGAAAGCAATTAGGTTGAATTTAGATATGAGTTGAAAATCGAACTTTTCACTGATACAGACCATGGTCTCAACTGCGCAGGATGAGGGTGTTCCACTTGTATATTAACTAGGGCTGACCTATAGGTATTTAGGTTATAGTCCATGATGCATGGGACAGTCTGACAAGGACAGGTGCAGACTCTGAGTCTCAAATGCCCTGCAGAAAGGCATGGTTGGGGGATGTCCTTCTGAGAGTAGCAGGTTTGGTACCCAGTAGCTGCTAACTAATATCTCATCCTGCCATGATGTGACGTGGCAGAGAGAGAAGCCTAGGGCAGCTAGAACTAGAAGGGTAGGGAAGGCTTCACCAATTTTAGTGTTAATTCTTAGCTTCATCCTCCTGTTGTCAGGGAGCATGGTCCGTGTGACTTTAAATCTTTGAAGTTTGTTGATATTTACTTTTTTGGTCAAGCATAGGATCGATTCTGTCAGTATTTCTTATGCGTTGGGAGAAAAATGTGAGGTCTGCTAGCATGGGCAGCAGTGTTCCTCTTTCTTTTGTGGGCTAGATTGGCCAACCCCTGAATGAGCCATGATAAGAATGTTGTTGGGACTTGCCTGGTGGTCCAGGGGCTAAGACTCTATGCTCCGAATACAGGGGGCCCAGGTTCAATCCCCGGTCAGGGAACTGGATCCCACATGTGCAAATAAGAGCCTGAATGCCACAACTAAAAATTCCAAGTACCGCAACTAAAACCCACTGCAGCCAAATAAATAAACAATTATTTTTTAGAAAAAGAATGTTGTTTGAAGCCACTGAACATTGGGGTGTTTTGTTAAACAGCATTAATGCGGCGATAACTAGCTCATAGGAAGGTATGCTGAAGAACCTCGAGGAAAATGAAAAATTCATGGTGGGCTCAACAAGGTGGAAGAGGAACTTAGAAGACTCGGAACTTTGTGGAAATGAGTGAGAGGAAGGATTCTGGAATCCAGAGCTACCGTGAGGCTGCTTGAGTCTTGATTATCAGCCAGGACCACCTGGAAAACCCTCCAGGGCTCTCCTGGTAGCCATGGATAAAGCTCTGACTTTGCATCAGACAGACCCAGATGTGAATCTCAGCTTGTCTCTGAGCCTTGAAGTCCTTGGCTATAAAATGGGAGAAGCCTTAACCTTCCAGAGTTGTTGAAGAAGTTGAATAGAACACTTGCACACCCTTGGGGGCTCAGAAGACACAGGCTCTTGTGATGTTATTACAACATGTTTGCTCATTTCTTTCTTGTGCACAAGAACCCTGCAAAGGGGAGGTTCGTGTCCAAGTTTCAGCTGACTGTTCTGAGTGGAAGTTACTAGAAAGTGGTCAAGTCAGGACTTGAGCCCAGTCAAGGCCAGCACTTCAGTGCCCTGCTCCATATAACCCGTCTGTTTCGTAGCCAGGGAATCAGAGAGAAACAGCAGAAAAAATATCTGCTTTAGGTATAAGTTCAGTTTTTCAGGACTTTTCATGGAAGTTCAACCTACAGGACAACACACAGATCCCAAGTGAATAGCTGGACGAATTTTCACAAAGCGGACACACTAGGGTAACCCGAGTTAAGAAATAGACCATGAACAGCACCCCGGAAACCCCTCCTCCACCTCACCAAAGGTAACTACCATCCTGAATTCACACACCATCGATTTATCTTGCTTTTTAAAAAAAGTTAATGTAAACTGAATTTCACTTTACATAGGATTTACCCTTGTTGACCAGGTAGTTACAGTCAGTTCATTCTCAGGAGTGTAGCGTGGTCCGTCATGGATCTTTTCTATACTATACCCGTTTCTCCTGAAGGACAGGTAGAGTATTTGGAAAATGGCATTAAAAATATTAATATTCATTGAATATTAATAGTAATTAATAAGGTTTATTAATAGTAACATTCATTGAATATTCGTTGGCAGGACTGATGCTGAAGCTGAAGCTCCAATACTTTGGCCACCTGATGGGAAGAGCTGACTCATTTGAAAAGATCCTGATGCTGGGAAAGATTGAGGGCATAAGCAGAAGGGGGAAGCAGAGAATGACATGGTTGGATAGCGTCACCGACTCAATGGACATGAACTTGAGCAAACTCTGGGAGAGAGTGAAGGACAGGGAAGCCTGGCGTGCTGTAGACCATGGGATCACAAAGAGTCAGACACAACTTAGTGACTGAACAACAACATTACAAATAGTGCTGTTGAGAATAGCTGTCCTCATCTTTTGCCAAACTCATGTACACATTTCTGGTTTCTACAAATTTAGGAGTGGAATTGCTGGGGATGGGTTCATTAGGCTACTCATCACTTACTAACTTTATGAACGAAGGCAAATTATTTAGCTTCTCTTAGACTCACTTTTCATATCTGTATATTGGAAACAAAGATACTTTCCCCTCAGGATCGTGGCTGAGGCTTAATATCGGCAAGGCAACTGGCCCCAGGGTAGCTCCCCCCAACTTTTTTCCCCCAGCCCTGCTGGGTCCTTGCTGCCTCGCACAGGCTCCTCCAACTGTGGTGTGTGAGCTTGGCTGCCTCACTGCATGTGAGATCTTAGTTCCCTGACCAGGGATCAAACCCACATTCCCTACAGTGCAAGGTGGATTCTTAACCACTGGCCCACCAGGGAAATCTCTAGCCCCCCTTTCTTTTTTCCTTCCTCTGCTGTGCCAGAGCCCGAGCACATGGCTTTTCATGCTAGGCTGCGCCTTTGCCAGGAGTCCTCACCCGGAACTTGGAAAGTTCACCTGCTGCCCAGGGCTCCCGGGGCTGCCTTTACACCCAGCCCATTCTCCTCTGTGATCCAGTTGCTGGCACCCAGCCCAGCACTGGCTTGCTGCGGTCACTGTCACTGCTAACATGTGTTTTAATGATGGTCCCTGCCAGAGGCTGGCTTGCCTGGATGTCTCCCCTGGGAGACAGGCCCAGCAGAGGCAAGGGATGAGGAGGCCGAAGAGCTGGCTGAGATGTGACTCGGGAGTTTAGAACAGACATTCCTCTCTTGCCTGGTCTTTCCTCTAGATTTCCAGGTAGGATGTTTTCTTAGGCCCCTGAATTTCTTTATTCTTTCTGGAACACGAGTTGGAACGTCAGAGCGCATCCAGTGGGGGATCTGCCTAGGGGTGGATGCTGTCAAGACAGAGCTGACGTCTGTGTAATAGCAGCCTGGAGCCTTGTGCTGAGAAGGATTCCGAAGGTATTGTCCAGGCTCAGGAAAGAATGCCATGATCGATGGGTTATGTCTGTTAGGTGTCTGGGAGGTCGAGGTGGAGGTGGTGGTGGTTTAGTCACTAAGGCGTGTCCGACTCTTTGCGAGCCCGTGGGCTGTAGCCCGCCACGCTCCTCTGTCTGTGGGCTTCTCCGGGCAAGAATACTGGAGTGGGTTGCCATTTCCTTCTCCAGGGAATGGGAGCTGGTGGCAGCATGTATTTCTTAAAATCTCTGTTAGTTAGTATCGATAGAAAATGGACATATATTTGATTTAGAACTATAAATAGGATTTTTAAATAGGTAAGCTAAATCCTTTTACATCTATATGAATATTGATATATTTGGGTTGATTTCTACCATTCAAATTTTTGTTTTCTCTTTACTATCTATACCTTTTTTCCTTTTCTTCATTGAATTTGTGAAGTTTCTGTAATATCCTGGTCTCTTTTCTCCTCTTGGCTGGTTTGCAACATAGAAAAAATTATTTTGGGGGCTACATAAACATTTTTAATATACACATTTGCTATTCAGTGTTTCTTTCCTTCTGAACAATGCCCCTTCCTAGCTTATTTTTATCATGTTAAATGCAACATTGATGATTTTTCTGAGTTGATTAAATTTGTTTATATATTTTATAAATTGACTTGCTCGTCATTTTTTCCCTTACCACATGACATTTTCTTTTTGCTGAATACCTCCACCATTACCAGCACTAGCAGTTAACATTAATCCAGGGCTTCCTTTGTGGCAGACACTGTCCTAGTAATCCTGCATGTGTTAAGTCCGATAGTCCTCCACAACATCCTGTGAGTGTATCATCTCTGCTCTGTGGATGAGCAAACAATCACAGAGGCAAGCAACAGTTGGACATGACTGAGCCACGGGGCATGAGGCAGCTGCCCAAGGTCAGCGGGGTTGCGGAGAGTCCAGAATTGTGCTCACTGTGTTGCTCTTTGCTCTGTGTTTAAATTTTATTATTTTAAAACCATTTTAGATTTACAGAAAATTTGCATGGGTGGTACAAAAAGTTCCCCTATACCCTCCAACCAGCTTTCCCTAATGTTAACATCTTGAAAAGACCATGGTGCACCCAATAAAATGAAAAGTCACGCCAGCAGAATGCTGTTAACCAAACTACAGACTTTAATTGTATTTTACCACGTATCCACTAATATCTTTTTCTGTTCCAGAAGCCAACCCAAAATACTATATTGCATTTAATGTGTGTGTATATACATCTCTTTATCTTACTATCTATTTTTATACAAACTTGAAATATTCATAATATAATACTTAAAATAGTGCATATAAATATATTTATATATTTAAACTTTTTAATTAAAAGTGTAATATATAATACACATTTATATGTAATATATAATATATGGTTTTTAAATTAAAGAATTGAAGTACAGTTAACTTACAATATTGTATTAGCTTCTGTTGTAACAGCAAATTGATTGTTATATATGTATAATATAGTTATATTACTTACATAATTATATATTTATATTATTATATATATTATATACATTATTACAAGATATTGAGTATCGCTAATATATTTATATATATTATTACAAGATATGCGCTATTCAGTAGGACCTTGTTGTTTACCTATTTTATATATAGTGGTTTGTATCTGCTAATCCCATCTCTATCCCTGCTACCTCAGAGGGAGCAGTTGACTTTGGGCTTCCTTTGTGGCTCAGCTGGTAAAGAATCTGCCTGCAATGTGGGAGACCTGGGTTCGATCCCTGAGTTGGGAAGATTCCCCTGGAGAAGGGAAAGGCTACCCACTCCAGTATTCTGGCCTGGAGAATTCCATGGACTGTATAGTCCATGGGGTCGCAAAGAGTCAGACATGACTGAGCGACCCTCACTTCACCCACTAATATATATATATATTTATAATATATTAAGTATATCATAAAATATATTTAAAGCTATTTTTATTATGGAAGACTTCAAGTTTATATATAATACATATTTTTAAAACTATTTTTATTAAAACATATAACACCTAATTTATATAAAATATATAAGATTGTATAATGTATTTCTATTAAAATATATTATAAATATATTAAAACACATTTAAACTATTTTTATTGTGTAAGATTTCAAATTTATACAAAAGTAGAGAAGGCAATGGCAACCCACTCCAATATTCTTGCCTGGAGAGTCCCATGGACGGAGAAGCCTGATGGGCTACAGTCCATGGGGTTGCAAAGAGTCAACTGAGCGACGTCACTTTCACTTTCACGCATTGGAGAAGGAAATGGCAACCCACTCCAGTGTTCTTGCCTGGAGGGGAGCCTGGTGGGCTGCTGTCTATGGGGTCGCACAGAGTCGGACACGACTGACGTGACTTAGCAGCAGCAGCAGCAGAGAATAACAAAATAGTAAAATAAACATTTAAATAAAACTAGTATTAAAATTTATTCTTTACTCAGCTTCAAGAATAACTAACTCATGACCAATCTGTTTCATACTCCACACCAAATTTTTTTTTCCTTGTCTTGTTGACCTGAATTTCATAGATATATATACCTTACGTACCACTTTCTTATTTTACCTACTTCCTATGTGGCAATTCTCTAGTCCAAGTATTTTATTAACCACAGAGTTTCTAGGGCCAACACTGGGAACTTCTCTTTTTTTTTCCCAAGAAGTCTTTGCATACCGCTTTGTAGAAACAGTTGAAGAGGCTAGGGATGGCAAAGTTACAAGTACTTAAAAAAAAAACAAAAACAATTTAGCACCAAAGGTTAGGACACATGGCCTGGGAACTGACTCATCTCTGTCCTTTGCTTTAGGTTATGTTCCCCTGGCCATGCCATTTCTTTTGTTTAAACCCCAATCTCCTAATTTACAAAGTGTGGATACTTAATCTACCTCATTGAATTCTTGTGAGGATACCATTAAAGAGCATATTTTAAAGCCATTTTAATATTGCATAGTTTCTATGCACATATAAAGCCTTGTACGTCCCTGGTGGTCCAGTGGTTAAGAATCCGCCTGCCAGTGCAGGCGATGCAGCTTGGCTCCCTGGTCCCAGAAGATCCCACATGCCGCAGAGCAGATAAGCCTGTGCACCACAACTGCTGAAGCCCTTGTGCCTAGAGCCTAAGCTCCACAACAAGAAAAGCCCCTGCAATGAGAAGGCTGAGCACAGCAATGAAAAGCATCCCCAGCTCGCCACAACTGGAAAAAGCCCGTGTGCAACAAGGAAAACCCGCGCAGCCAAAAATAAATAAAATGAATCTGTTAGGTAGGTTAAAAAACAAAGGCACCCCAGTGTAGTTCGCTTTGTATGCCTTTTATTCTGGTGAATTGCATCTCCCATCATGCATTTAAGAGGCTTGTATCTTCTTTCTGCTGCTGGCGGTTCACTCTCCCGGCCTAATGATCTTCTGGGGGGGCGGTCAGGAATGAGGTGTAATCGTCTGTCTCTGACTGTCTGGTGTCACTTTCGCAAACAAGCTTCTGGGGAATGAAAGACTTAAGGACAAACATGGGGTGGCAATATGTGCTATCAACATTCCAGACGTCAGGGCTGGGGAGATGCGGGGACACCGGAGAGGCGTTTCCGTTGCCCTTCTGCCCTGCATTTGGAAGGCTGATCTTCAGGGGACTCAGGCTGTCCTCTTCCTCCACTGTGCTCCTGTTGACACAGGCAGCCTCGTGCTCCTCCAGCTTCTTGATGGGGACCACGTGGCAGGCGTTGTATTTGCAGCTGGCCATCTTTTTGGCTATCTTGGGGTTCTTTCTCCGGCATGATGCCAGGTGGTACTGAAATCTGCTGAGTGGGATTTGGTGGTGAGGATTGTAAGGGCAAATTTCTAAGGCTTCTGGCTCCATGGGAACTAGTTCTTGAAGTAGGGTTGCCCACTGCCTGGAGTCACGATGAAATACCCTTCACGGAAAAGCCCTTTGGTAAGAAGGATGGAGCGGTCCTCCGTTCCAGCGCCGCCCCTTGGAACTCTGGAGCCGCAGGTCTGAACAACTCGGGCTGCCTATTCTTGGGACCATGAGCGGTGGGTCAGAAGAGGGACAAGGGGCTGAGAGGAGCAGCTGCACAGACAACAGGCGGTCATCAGCGGCATGTGAGACGGAAGGACCACTCAAAGCAGATGCCAGAGCCCAAACCGCAGTGGCCGCTCAGGGAGCTGAAGAACGAACGTGCCAGCCGGCCTTTGCCTTTAACTCTCACTTATGTGCTGCTGGCGGGCAGTCATGGACAGTCACAATGGGCATTGTGAGTCATCAGCCGAATTCTTGCTGTCCTTTACTTTCAAGGCATGAGGTGGGCTTGGGGAAAGCTGCCATTTACAACTATTGGTGACATGTCATCATTTAGCGCTCTTTCTATTTTGTTTTTTTGTTCCAGTTGAAGTCTATGTTAGTTTCTGGCATACAGCCAAGTGATTCAGCTATACACACACATATATTCTTTTTCAAATTCTTTTCCATTATGGTTTATTACAAGGTGATGAATATAGTTTCCCGTGCTGTAAAGTAGAACCTTGTTGTTTATCTATTTTACATATAATAGTTTGTATCTGCTAATCCCAAACTCCTAATTGATCATTTACCTGTCTTTAAACCTACAGGTTTAATATCATTTGTGATACATTTGGGTTTAAATCTATGATCTTCTTTGGTGCTTGGTTCATTTTCTTCTATCTTCCTTTAAATAGACTTTTAAAAGCTCCATTTCTTTCACTAGTTTGTAAGTTATACACTGTAGAACTAATCATTTCGTGGTTACTCTACAAGTGAAAACAAAGATAATTTATCAAGGCTTAAAGTTAATAAGTATTAGCTTCTTTCTGGATAATACAGAGCTTTTTCTTCATTTACTTTCCTCATGATTTATTATGTTATTATTCCCTGTATTTTTTTTTTTTTTTTTTTAGCCATACCACATGACATGTGGAATCTTCCTTCCCTGACCAGGGACCAAACCTGTGCCCCCTGGAGTGGAAGCACAGAGTCTTTAACCTCTGAACCACCAGAGAAGTCCCTGTTCCTTGTATTTTAAGCCTAATTTTTAAAACAGCTTTGCAAGACAGCATTGCTATTATCAAAGTTCGATTACACTTACGTTCACATTTATTCCTCTCTCCTTTTGCACTTGGACTCACTATGTGGGATCACTTTGTTTCTGCTGAAAGTTTTCAATCTTTAGAATTTCCTCTTGACACATACTTCTGGTTTCATTTGTCTGAAACCGTCTTTATTTCACCCTTGCTCTTTTTTGTTTATCTATTTTTAAATTTTATTTATTTATTTTGACTCCACTGGGTCTTCACTGCTGCACGGGCTCTCCTCTCGCTGCCGAGAGCCGGGACTGCCCTCCAGTCGCAGCACGTGGGCATCTCTCTGCAGTGGCTTCCTTCGTTGGGGTGCACAGGCTCTAGGGTGCCCAGGCTTCAGCAGTTGCAGTTCCCGGGCTCCGGAGCACAGGCCCAGTGGTTGTGGTGCATGGCTTAGTTGCTCCCCAGCAAGTGGGATCTTCCCGGACCAGGGATCGAGCCTGTGTCTCCTGCATTGGCAGGCAGATTCTTGACCACTGAGCTATCATGGAAGCTCTCACCCTCATCCTTGGAAGGTGTTTTTGCTGACAGTAGTCGTGCTATGTTCTTTCTTTGTATTGAATCAGAGCCCAATTTCTTCTAACTTCCATGTTTGAGAATTCAGAATCTCACAGTTACCTCACTTCTTTTGAAGCCCATCTGCGTCTTTTCATAGGTCTATTTCAAAGAACTTTTATCTTTGATTTTCCTACAGTTTCACTAGGTTGTTGACCTGTGGATTTCGTTATACTTATTCTCTCCTTATGTTTATTGGCTGCACTTCTGGGTTAGTGTCTTTCATTCAGTTTGGAAAATGCTCAGTCACTGTCTCTTCAAATATCTCTTCTACTTTATGCTTTTACCTCCACTGAAATGACAACGTTTTCATTCTACTGACATTTCATGTCTAAAGTGAGTTTCATGGTCACACCTAACTTCAGGGATCAAGGAAGTCCAGGCTTGTCGCATGCATAGAAGGGGGAGAATAGAAACTTTGACAAGAGTCCTGACAATGTCCCCATTCTGTCTTTTTTGTCTCCAGTAATTTTTCCCCCTTTTCTCTACACATGCAGAATATGCTGCCTCCTCCCCAAGGGAGAAAACCCCCCAGACTGGGAGAAGATGCTCAGTCAGTGCCCACTGGGACCTTCCCAGGTTCCACGCAGGACCTTACATCTGCATGGGTGGGAATTCTAGCGCCTCCAGCTAAGCTATCCCCTATGAGGAAAGAGAAGCTTGCAGAGTTATGCTCACTGTACCCCCGCCACCCACTGGAACATCCTCTACACAAGGACAGCTCCTGGTATATTTTGCTGAGAAAGGGTCCTTGGAAAACTATAACTTCCATACCATTTATGCAACAGAGAGTCCGTTTTCTCTAAGGCTGAAACCCAGTGTCGAAGGGCCCACGGGGAGTTAGCAGGTGGTTCAGCATATGCTCTGATGTATCCCCAAAGCCCAGCATGGTGTGTACTGATGATGCTGACAATGTTTTTTGGTTTTATTTTGTTTCCATTCCCATAGCCTCTTTCATGCCCAAACCAGAGGTAGCGGAGACTTGAGTGATTTAAGCATCTATAAGTCTGTGAATGAAATTGATAATGAAAGCATTTCTTCTGTCGCTGAAATTCACATAATAGGGAACAGGGCATTAGCTGTTGTAGGTTTCTTTGTGGCCAAGAATGCATTAGTGGGGCGGGCTAATGTTTAGTCCATTATGGAGAGAGGGAAGACTAAGCTCATTAATGCTTCTAATGGACCTCTTGAATGGTCCTCCAGTTTTCAGCCTTCTCCCAGCATCTGCTTCATCTCCGGGATCCGACAGGTCACTCACCATAGCAACCAGATGGGAGAGAAGGATGCAGATACACCTGTCTGGGCTGCACTTCTCAGGCCTGTACAAGTCAGAGACCAATAATGAAAGCGAGGTCAGATCTGCCTTCTGCTCACTCCCTCCCCACTCTGATCATCTTGAGAGATGCTGCCGACAGCTGGAGTTGCAGGCGTGGAGAAGGGGTCACAGAATGTGCAGAAACTGTTTCCTGAAAAAGAAAAAACTATGTGTCCTGGGCAGCCAACTCAGCAAACATCATTATGAGGTGGGATGGAGGGTCAGAGTCACCATAAATCCGAACCCTTCAGCCTCAGAGAAACTTCAGGTCAGCTTCTCTCTCAGGGCCAACATCCCCTCCCAGGCATCCCTGAAGGATGATCACAGTGACAGGGAGCTCCCTGTGGGCTGCCCTGCCCAAACATTCCCTAGTTAGCTTTATCCTGCTCACTCACTCAGTCATGTCTGACTCTGCAACCCTATGCACTGTAGCCCACCAGGCTCCTCTGTCCATTCTCTCTCTCTCTTTTTTTTAAATTAATCTTTTCCCCCTCTGTCCATTCTTAGGAATTCAGTGGCAATGCAGGAGACAAGGAGACATGGGTTTGATCCCTGGGTCGGGAAGATCCCCTGGAGAAGGAAATGGCAACCCGCTCCAGTCTTCTTGCCTGGAGAATTCCCAAGGACAGAAGAAGAGCCTGGTGGGCTTCGTACAGTCCATGGGGTTGCAAAGAGTTGGACACGACTGAGTACACATCCAGACAGTAGTCTACTAAATGTGCAATAGTCACACAATTATGTCTAAAGCAACAGTCTACACACTTTAAAATTGCTTTATGGCTAAAACATTTCTAACCATTATCTCAGCCTTCAGCAAAATGTAATCTCTTTATGACAGTAACATCAAAGATCACTGATTACACAGATCACCAAAGGACATTTAATAATATCTTAAAAATTCAAAATACTGCAGGAATTGCCAAAATGTGACATAGGGACATGAAGTGAGCAAATGCTGTTGGAAAAATGACTCCAATAGACTTGCTTGATGCAGGATTGCCACAAGCTTTCAGTTGATGAAAAACACAATAAGGGCTTCCCTGGTGGTCCAGTGGTTAGGAATCCCAGTGGTTAAGCCTGCCAACCTAGGGCACACGAGTTTGATCCCGTCTAGGAAGATTCCACATGCCTTGGGGCAACTAAGGCCATGTGCCACGACTTCTGAGCCCGCAACAGAGATGCCACCACAATAAGAAGTCCGCACGCTCTATCTAGAGAAAGCCCTGGCACACCCGGAAGACCCATCGCAGCCAAAAACCAAACAAAACAACACAATAAAGCAAAGTGCCATAAAAATGAAGTATGCCTGTGCCAGGATGCTTCATACACAGTTGACCCTCAAGAAATAAGAGAAAACATTAACATGGAAAACTAGCTGCTCGAGGCAGTGTGAGGAGCTGGGAGCAATGGCTGCGCTCAGGAGACAGTGAGCGGAGCCAAGGTCCACAGTGGCTCTGACTGAGGGCTTCCTGGGTCCCTGCTGGGGGCACCGGAATCCCCAGAGCTGCTCATAGGATCCGTGCTTCAAGGAAAGTCAGCTTGGAAAAAACAAGCTCTGTGTCATAAATTAATACGAACGGAAAAGACAATTCATTCAAGCATCTGTGAGGAACTGAAAGAAACATGCCATTCGAGGCCACAGAGACGACCTCTGAGGTGCTGACAAGCTGCCCTTTTCTGGCCGCATTATCTGACCACAAAACAGAAATTAAAAACAAAGGGATAAACAGAAAAAAATTAAACCACTTGGAAATTGATTCCTGAATAAAGAATGGAACAAAACTGCAATTATAGGCCATTCAGAACACAACAATTGGAACGCCACAGAGCAAAACTCAGAGAGTGTAACAAAAGACTCCCATGGCTCAAATGTTTGTGTGATTAAATGGGGA